CGCATGACTCCATAAACCTTCCATGATGCCGCATATGCAACTTTCAAGTCGTTCAGCTTGTTCACGATCACCATCGCCAACAGTAAAGCTCGCAGCATACCTGAGAATGTCAGGTCTCTTCATAGCGACATGTTTAGCAGATGTCCACACGTGAAACAATGTCGAATCACGAACGAACAAATGGTCAATGGCAAAGGCATGACGAGTCTCCGAGCATTCACCTTCATCCTTTGCGTATGTTGCAAGAACATGGTCAGCAACTCGTACTAGCAGATGACACACCTGACATTCGTGAGTCTTGTGGTCAGCCGATCCGTTAAGACTCTTTGCAACGTGAAACCATCTCTCGTAAAGGGAATTCATTTCCTAGAATGCGAAGACACGAGGCAACTGATCAATACTGTATCGGGTGAAGGAATGACTCGACTGCATGTCAAGCATGCATATTTATACAAGTCAGAATGGGGTGGGTTGAAAATGCAAAGTTGTCAACCAATCACCATCAAGCCCGCCAAAAACAGATGATGTAACCTTGACATGATTGATCTTGTCATGAATGACGCATTCATTGATGGTGTTCACATGAGATCACCCTGGTTCATCTTTCCCAATTCCATTCTTTTCACATCCTGCAACCCATTCTCCACTAGTAGTAGCAGTGGGGATACTAGAGTCCGAAGAGGCAAGGCAGCACTCTTCCGTGGACGTACTACTCGACACAACACCACCCATACTTGTTCTTTAGAAGTTTTTTTTTTTAAATTTGTATCATGAGGTATTGACGTAGAAAGTAGTATAGGATAGTATAGGATAGAATAAGAATGAATGATCAGCTGTGTGATAAAGAAGGCAGTTCATTAAAGACTTCTTGGAAGGTCTCTACCAGCTGATCGTCTTGTTGGACGACGACACTGCATAATGATGTGAAGCTCTCAGTCAGCTGTTTCAGCTCCGTGATAGAAAGTGCCATGTGTGCGTCCAGAGCACGATGAAAACATCTGGGTTCCACGTTGATGCAGATGATTGGAGCAACAGCAAGACGTACCTTCATCACTTGCTCGTCAGTGTCGAGGGAGACTGCCCCGGGGTAGATGAATACATCTTGTTCCACATCCAGTTCAAACGAGCTGGTCGGGACTAGCTTGTTTTCACCGTTGATGTACACCCGACATTGACCGTCGGACGAACGTGATGTATAGAAGTTGGTTATGATCTTCTCCACACGTCCACTTCGGAGAGTGTCACGGAGCGATGGACAAGTCTTGATCAAGTTCGTAATGATGAACTCAGTGGACTCGTTCAGTTCGATGTAAACTTGTCCTTGAGCATCTTTGCGAGCTGTTGCCGTACTACCACAGGCTGGCAGAGCTCCCGAAGGGAAGTACATCTTATATCCAGGCTTGTAGAAGGATTTACCAGATAACTTGTAGGGCAGCTGCATGTCCTCCTGAAACCCATCCACCACAATCTCTTTGTGGAGCTTGGTAGGAGCAGGTGATGCATAGCGACGCTTAGCCGGTACTGGATTCGAAGAGAGCACAACTCGAGGAGGGTCAGCAGGAAGAGCGGAATTCTTCTTCATCCTTCGCTCGTATAGGGAAGCCATCTTCTAGGAAGTGAAGTCAGGACAACTCGTCAGCACTGTATTCGATGAACGAATGACTCAACTGCAGACAATCATTCGTTTATACGAGCCAGAGAGGTATGTGGATTGAAATGATAAGATATGTGTCAACCAATCAAGCCCGCCAAAAACATTTGACCAATCAGCATCAAGCCCGCCAAAAACATTTGACCAATCAGCATCGTAATGGGGCCGTTCTCGGCACTTGTGCCAGTGGTTGTGAGACTTATCCACTCACCCCCACCGTTAGGCGCTGCATCTGCCGCTAGGATTTACCGGGTGTTAGCGGCCGTCGTGAGTTCCCTTCGGGAACGGACACGATAATTTACTTTTTTTTAATCAGCATCGTGCCCGCCAAAATCATATCTCATTATAAAGATTCCTTACATGATACCGCCACCTTGGTGAATTGATACAGTATGGAAAGAAGATCACAGTCAAACGTGTGCATGTTCTGGATCACGTGATCAAGTGAATAGATTTCCCAGCAATAAGCATCAATCAATGATGTCATAAGAGATATATCAGATTGAGATAAAAGCAGCAAATTCGAACGCAACATGGACAATTGCAATGAAGACACCATCCTAGTCGACTCCATGAGATGCAGTACGTATAGGAGTGGAAAATGCTGAGGAAGAGGTTTCATGATTCGACTGAACCTCAACCAGGCTACATTGCTATGAGGTAAGTAGGAATACAGTTTACGTAATGCATCCACATTCGTATCGTATACTATACAGGATAATGCTATAGCATAATTTATACTCTTGTACAAACAGGACTTCTTCATCGCACGTATCTGCTCTCGAAGAGGGTGTACACGAAGCTGATCGGATAAGAGTTCAGTTTTCGAAAGAAAATGCAAAAGATGACGATCCACACCACATAACCGCTCATGCGCAGCGTAAGGCTTCTTCATCAAACTACATCTCTGATGCACATCAACTTCAGGTAAGTAAACCACATCCATGACAAGTCCACAAGAAGAACATACGTATCTTCCTTCATGAACAACATGATCAAGATGATGACACTGCTTTTCCTTCCCTTCTTGCTCTTCTTCTTCTTCTCCTCCTTCTTGTTCTTCTTCTTCTTCTTGTTCTTCTTCTTCTTCACGAAGTCTCTTTTCACGTACATAGGCACGTAAGATCTCTAATTCAGAATCCATCTTCACCCCACACCATCATCTTCATAGTGAAACATTATCCATCAATATATCTACTTTTATACCCACTCCTATCCGGGGATAATAGCAAAATACTCCTGAAAAAATAAATAAAAAATGAACAGAATAAAGATTAACAATGACGATAAGTGTGCCTTATTCAACCCAAAGGTCAAAGGTCAAACCCTGGGGGAGTCCCGGGGTCAGACCAAGCACGACCGACACAGTGTGCCTTATTTGGCCCAAAGGTCAAAGCAATAGAAGAAAGGCATTCACATCTCAATCTGATATCATAGTCGAAAGATTCCAAACCCGAACAAAAAAGACTCACCATGACGGGGGCGTCTTTCCGCTTTCGAAACACATCGTGTTCTCCAAGGTCGTCACCTCCCCGTGGCGTGACCCCTTGGTCTTGTTTGAGACGTCTAGACGTAGCCTTGTTTACAAAGGTCATCGCGGCGTGAACTTTGACCTCGAGGTGAAGTAGTCTCAACCTGCAGTTTCATTATCGACTCCTTCTTGCAGTGTGAAGAAGCTAAAATGGCGTGGACATTTTCTGAGACGTGCAGAGCAGAGAAATGGTATTTATTTTCATGCGATAATGAAGAGTTCTCAATCCGTCGCCTCAGTGCTAGCAAGACAACCAGGGATCTTGACCCGATGATAGCACATCCCAGAAGATTCGATATGTCACCACTCACTGCTGCTGAGTATATTATCTGCAGGGTCACCAGTCTGATCTTGAATGTGAAGAATAGGAAACAGCACCTTCCTAAAATCGTCATCGGTGGTGTGGAGGACTACGGAACTATTAGTGAGACTGATGATGGTGTCATACTGCGAAGGTGGACTGATGGTAGACACTCATTCTACAAGCTTAGTGACATGCGTGACGAACCGTGCTCTCAACACATCATCGACCTCTTCGCTGATGCAACCTATTTGGATTCCAGCGACGTAATGCAACTTGTCAAGGAGGTGAACGAAAAATGAAGTCTCTCGAGTTGATCGTGTGCGTGTACGACGTAGTACCAAGGCCGTTCAACTCCGTGCCGTTGCAACAAGAGTAACGCGGATTCGTGTGCGAGTTGGTACGATCGACATCGGCGACGATGGATTTATCTCCAAATTACCCGAGTCGACTGTTGACACGATGGCGGTGCAAAGGAGGTCGTCGACTGACAGTTCCATTGCTGACTGGGTGGAACCATTGGTGCACATCAGAGCGTCCGACAACTCCACCTCGTACTGCGTGTCACGGAAGAGATCATGGGTGAATCCATCCTCACACGTATTCGAAGAGTAAACTTTGTGGTCTCTCATCCAATACCAGCTTGATGAAATCAGGACAACAAGAACTGAATTGTACTACCTTTCTCCTCCACTCCATTGCGATATTCACTGTTCGTTCCATTATTCTTTGTAATGACATGTATCGTATCTATCAAGAACTGACCTTTCTGACGTGTGTGCGAGCAGGACCATTTTTGAAAAATTGCATGGGGAGGTGGGGTAGGTCACGGAAAAAACTTCATGATAAACACCATATTCAACATTCTACTTTTTATACCCACTCCCATCCGGGGCAAGGTGGCCCAAAAAAGTGAGATTCAAACCCACATGTGCACAACACATATTTTCAATAATACCCCATTTTTTGGGGTCAGGGCACCCCCTGGCACATATTTTTATCCGCAAAAAAACCGGGCCAAAAATAATTTTCACCGCAAAAATGGGGTACTATTAGTACCCCATTTTTCAATAATACCCCATTTTTTGGGACCCGGGCGCCCCCTGGCCCAGAACCCGCTCGTACATTCCTACTAATGAGATAGAGTTGTGCACAGCTGCCATGGTGGCGTCTTGATTTTTAACCTTGCTCCATATTGTGACCAGCAGGACATTAGCACCACAGAACGCATGCACATATACGGATAGGATTCACCTTGCCTGGGAATGAGTATGCAACTTACTTGGGTGGGTGTGTGCTTGCACCACATGCAACAGTGTGACGTGGCTGATCCCAGGTTCACCCGAACATAACTTGTGATCATGCAACATGTGAGCATGCAAGTGGCTGCACCTGCCACTCTTGTACCGCATGGAATCCCCATGACCGATATTTGCCTCATTTGGTTAGAACTCCGCTTTGCTATTTAATCATTGGAAATTCCTCACTACCCTGCTCCTGTTCGTTCTGCCTTGCAGGGAGCAACAGGACTCTCCGGCCCCATTGGACCCAAGGTGAGCGCATCGCAGCATCACACTGAACACCACCCTATATTGTAGTACAGTGTCTGCATGGTTTAGTACTCCCCAGCTGCGAATGGACATGTACAGTGCAGTGCATTGCACCGTGCTGGACGCAACGTGGTGTTGGCTGTGGAAGAGGATTTCCAGCATGAAGGCTTTGTGCACACACATGTTGCAGTTTGACATTGCCGGTGACAGGTCTCGTAGTGTAATTCCGGCATCACGCAGACCGCATAAATATTATTAATTATTAAATGTTAACTGGTTTGAGGGAAAGAGACAAACGGGAAAAGTCTGAAGAAAAAATTGACTGCCACCACCAGGACTCGAACCAGGGACCTTCGCTTGTAGCCAGCGATGCTCTAACCACTGAGCTATGGTGTAGTCGTCAACCCAGCAGAGGCCGTTCAACATTTTCTTCAGACTTCGTAACTCACACTTCCTGTGAATCCACACAGGCGGGTGGGACGCAGCCCTCACTGTAACCCACACACTTCACGTACAAACTAGCACGCGGGGAGCCCCAAGTCATAAAATGTTAACTGGTACAAACGGGAAAAGTCTGAAGAAAAAATTAAAAAATATATTTTTCAAACTAGGTGATAATGGTGACAGGCCGCACAGTGTAATTCCTCTGCTTCCTTTTGGTCACTTTTCAATGTCTGTAGGGAGACCTGGGCCACAAAGGACCATCAGGATTGGTAAGCAACCATGCTGCTCTTCTTCATGCTCACACTACAGCCTACAGTAGTGCACATTGACATCCATGAAAAATGTGCACGCAGCCGGAGGCATTGGCTTTGCAGCCGGCTAGCCATGTACAGTCTACTCGCGATAAGTCACGCACTTTTAAGTCACGCACTCGCGATAAGTCACGCACTTTTTCATCCAGGACACCCATCTCAAGAATTTTTTTATTTTTCGGGATTTTGTGGATTTCGTGAATATTTGCGAATGATGTGGTTTTCAATGATGGAGCTTGAATACTGTAAAGGTAAGAATATAATTATTATGTGCATATTGTATGAGAGCCTTCTCCCTCAGGATCACCCACGACAATCCAAGTTTGTCAGTCACAAACTTCTCCCTTCGAAGCAAAATATACTTCACTAGCCGCTCCTCAATTTTCCCGAACTGGGAACTTCTGTTGCGGACTCCCTGTGGACCAGACGGATTAGCATCGACGAGTTTGCCAGCTTCAGCATCCCTCAGCCAGCCGCGGAACATCGCCTCCGGAACATTGTTCAACTTCGGACATTTTCGAGCGGAGGTTTTTCCACTCTCACGATAGAGACGAACCAAACGCAGTCGATCAGCCACTGTTTGCTGTTCTTTCGTTTTCTTATGAGAAGGCATCGTCAAGCCAGCGGGAAACGAAGTGTTTACACGACGGAAACAGAAGTGCGTCTCGTCAAATCCCTACCAAAACGGCAAAAGAGTAACGGAACGTCGTTACTTGTCTTTCTCGATCATGCCTTCATATCGATCATGGCTTCACGCTGTGGTAGATCTACGTCTCGTGTACAGTGTACAGTCAGTGTAGACTACAGACAGTACAGTGTACCGTGCGCATGCAGCTCAGTGCTTGTACGCGTGTTCAGCACACATGTCCATAATTATGCAGAAGAAAAAATGACGGCTGTACATATGCATGACGTGGTGCATAATGTAAGTCGCGCACTCGCGGTAAGTCGCGCATTTTCTATTCCAGGACACTGTGCGTGACTTATCGCGAGTAGACTGTACTTCTCAAGTGTACGCGTATGCACGTGGTACACACTACTACAGATTCTAGTCACGGTTTAGGAAAGGTACTGTCCTTTTTTGCATGTCCGAATCTTGCCGGCTCAAAATGAAACAGCTCGGTGCATACACTCAGTACGTATTCAACATTAGTTTTAATAGTGGTTTAATTGTTGACGCTATCTTCTGTTGGTCCTTCCATTCATAGTTATAATAGGTTCTTCTTTTGACCAGACAAGACCATACGACACGTGCAGACACCAGCACGAACAGTTCACCAATCCGCCAGCGACACTCCACGGCAGCAAGTAGTCAATTCTGACAAACTTGGTTTCATTCCATAAAAGATCACAGGAACTATTTCGCGTACGGGAAAGTCATCGCGCGACGGTCGCACGATGGCTTTCCCGTACGCGAAACGAAGTATGAATCGGCCTTAACACTGGAGTAACTATAGCATGACGAAGTGAAGCGAAATGTAGCCTTAGTGTCACATTTCGCTTCACCTGTTCATGCAATTATGAATCACTTATACATTAAAGTTTGCATGCAATGTTTGCTTGGCTGACAGTGTGCTACAAAGGCTGCATGTGTGGCGACATTCTCAGTCAATGCTCGTACACATGCATGTGTGTGGTGTGTGCATGCAGGATGGCTTTGACGGACTGAAGGGAGAGGTTGGTCCAACAGGCTTGCTGGGACCGCGTGGCCATCCAGGTACGTTCCTACGCAGAGTTATGCGACCCACCACTGGGATCCAGTTAATTCGGGAAAGGGCCATGGTGAAACCTTTGCTCAAGTACAGAATAGTGCTCTCTGCTGCGCATGGCACTTTCACGGTCGTATCATATTTTATGGTGCTGTAGCATCAGCACCTGCAAGCCAAAGTTCTTAGTGGCGGTCAATTCATCAGTCTTGCAAGCTGTTGAACGGTGTAATCCCGGCACAAGTTGCTATGTCTAACATAGCTTGTTCGCTATCATCGCTTCAGCGATGGACATGTGGAAGTGAAAGTGGGTGTATATCTGCTGTGATCTTTCTTCAGGCCTGACTGGGACTCCTGGCCCTGTTGGAGTGAAAGGTCCAGTTGGCAGCCCGGGACCGAAGGGTGAGCCGGTAAGTTTAGTACATGTATCAGGTTGCTGTACTTGTAAGTCAGTATGCATGCTGCACAGTCACTACGCTTACTGCATTCCCGTGGTTTTGCTGGAGAAATGACCTGTCTATCTGTCTGTCTCTCTCTCTCAAGTTTATTGCACCGAGCCTCTCCTTATTTGCCTCATTGTTATCAAATATATTTGTCCGTCAGCGAATCCAAATGAAATCAAGTTAATCAACAACAACCTGTTACCTGCGCTTGTTTGCATGTGTGTCTGCCGTAGGGTTCAGTCGACATACAGATGATTCGCAGTGTGTGCCGCAGCGTGGCTAGAGGTGAGTCCCACACACGGATACATGTATGTAAGGCAGAAGACTACCGAGCTGGTCAGTGACTTAGTCCCATGAAAGCAGTTACCGACAATGCGTGTGAGTGTGTGGAGAGCCTAGAGTTGATAGTGCTACAGTAGACTGTGGAGCCGTGCAATGCCCGAGTGCTATATCGGCAAGGTGAAGTTCAATGGCCAGCATTGTCGATGCACTGACATACTACAGCACCACTGCCTGGCTTGGTGTCAATCCAGTCTGAACCAAGCTATGTACATGAGCAAAGGACGTGTACGAGTCGCAGAGTCACACAAGACTGTGAAGTGAGACACTGGAGTTGGTGGATGCAAAGCTGAGAACAACATGATGGTATGTAGTTACCACAGATAGGGTCAGGGCGCGTTAAGACTACCAAAAAATGACGGAATGGGGGAGTTGCCAAGGTGATTTGATCACGTGCCGTTGAAGGCACTTTGCAGGCAGAAATGTTTTACTGCTGCGGCGGAAACAGCATTCCGGCAGTAAAAAAGGTGCTCAGGCTTTGAGTAGGGGAAAATCCCTTCTCGGTACCGCGATGATAGCTGCACAAGTAACGTTCGTTTACCGATAGTGCGAATGTCATTCACGGCTTGACGGAGTTCTCGGCTAAAGAAGCGTGTGTGTATGTGTGTTGTCTCTGTGCTTGCCCGCCTGCGTGCTTGTCTCGTTCTCCCATCAGAGTTGCTACTAGAGATTCAACTACCCACTGGACCACCAGGGCCCGTCGGGTCGCCTGGGCTTGAGGGTGCAGCAGGAGAGCCCGGTGAAGCTGGAGAACCAGGGCACGACGGTACGCCAGGACGCCCAGGTAAATGCATATTGCATGATTGCATACACATAGTGTACATGTATCCAGTGATACACACATGCTTGCGGGGTGCGAAAGCATGCAAAGTGAGCGAGTCAGAGCCCTGCGAAATCTATTGCAATACTTATACAATGTAGTGTGGAAAAATGGTAAGTTTCATCTCCATTGCCAGAATGGCAATATCGGTACAGCATATTCTGTACTTGCATCCCGCGACGACAATCGCCATCTGAGCATCAGGAACTTGCTTCAACCCAAGCATGTTTTCTGTGCTGGCTGTGTTGTTCAATGCAGGCGTGAAAGGTGAACGCGGTGAGCCAGGAAATAGCGGTAAGAGTGGCGTACCAGGGTCACCGGGCAGGGATGGCCGAATCGGAACACCCGGTGTACAGGGCCACCCAGGACCCAAGGGCAGTGGCGGCAAGCGCGGAGAGAAAGGCGCAGCGGGTAGCTCCGGCCTCGCTGGGCCCAGGGGGCCGGAGGGGATACCCGGCGAGAGTGGAGACCCGGGTCGCCCCGGTCGGGACGGACTGTCCGGTCCACCTGGTTACCCTGGCGAGGACGGCTCCCCTGGAAGATGCCCGTCATGTGACTACAGAGATCCACGGCCTCCGCCTGGATACGGGAAGCTCTGACTTGGTTCAGACTCACCAATCAACACCTGGATTTGGATAGTGTGCCAGTGCAAGCAGGATATATCACTCAAGTGTCCCCTTGATGAGAAGGCGCGCGGGCACACACACACACACGCTCTTTTCGTGTACATGTCGAATCTTGCATGGACTTGGTCAAACGTAAACCTACAACTCTCTTGCACGGCACTGAATGCAGCATGGATGGAAGGTAACATTGTAGCCAGGGACAAATCTTCCCTTTCAGGTCACTGTGTCTGTAAAGTAATCGTTGTGTCTAAACAGTGGTAACGTTTGAAGGAATGATGGATTACCGTGCACATTTCACAAATTTTACGCTGCAGTGAAACTATCAATAATTATAATAGCTAGCCTTGCCGTTCATTGTTGCAGTTTCAGCGATTGTTAAAATTTAGGTTACATCAACATCCATTCATGAGTTATCAAGAGACTTGGTATAATTATTATTCTTGACCTGTGCGTGTCCAGTGAGCTCAGTGCAGGTCCTTGAATCACAGCACCTGTTTCATACATACTCAAAAGAGTTGGATTTATTCTAGAGCACGCTTGCTTCCAGTTTTCAGTCTTGCCATGTACTAGTAGTTTTTTTCCTGACATGTTCAGCACCTCCAGCCACACTAGCCTTGATCAATGCTGCATGTACTCATGTGTATATTGGTGCACATTCGACAGACTACATGATGCTGCAACACACTTCGTATTACATGATTAAATATTATGCCGTGACTGATGCCGATATAATGTAGGACCATCTGACCAAGAAGGTATCATGGCATCACGTGTCCAGTACATGCGCGCGCTGTGTTACCCATCTGAGTGTCGCTACATGATCAGGTTGCTCCGTTCGTGCAGATATCAAGCGAGCGAAGCCTAGTTCACATTCGACAGGACGCTGTGGATGCCGGTTTACGGCATCCAAAGTAAACGCCAGGATCAAGAACCCAACCGTACGAACGTACAAATCGGAAAGCGACGAAAGAGTTCAACAGGTGCATTCCCTATCCTCGTGATCACTTTGCTTGCGTACACCATGTGTGTGTGTGGGGGGGGGGGGGGGGGGGGTATTTTCACTTTGTTTCAACACTAATGTCATAGTAATGCTGACACTTGCATACGCCGTGTGTGTGTGTGTGTGTGTGTGTGTGTGTGTGGTGTGGTGTGGTGTGTGTATGTGTGTGTGTGTATGTGTGTGTGTTTTAACTTTTTACTATGAACACAGCCCTACTGGAAAACATGTTGATGACAACATACATGTGTGTGGGCGTTGTTTGTAGGTGTGTGTGTGGGGGGGGGGGGGGGGAGTCATAATTATGCCATTCCCAGGAGATTTCTGTCTGTAGCCACAGGTACCAATGACCTAAAAGACTTAGATACATGTTTAGCCATAGGCTGTCTTCAGACAACACATGCTGTTAACTTATGCAGTCTTCCTCACTACAGTCCATCACAAGTTTTTAAAACAACTCACTTATAATCATTGCTACAAGGAGACACAACCATACACTGCAATGCAAAGCCACATATCCGTTTATAATGACCATGATGACGGCGACTCGATCACATCATCCAAACCAATCAATGACCTGCATGGCAACTGCGGTTTTCAGTGGTCCAGCACTGCATGCCAGTGCCACTGCCTGGACAACGCTTGCAAAAGTAAGTAAGTAACGTTAGTTGCATACGCTCAGCTCAGGCAAGTCGGAGTCAGTCCTTTCCTGTTTCCAACTCAGCACTCGCTCAGTCTCAAATCTTCCTTCGCTCTGCGACTCTGCTGCTGCATGTTCAATGGTAGTTGACCCCGAGTGTAGTGACCAGGTGACCTGGTGACGGTGTCTCTTCAGTTCTCACGGATTTGTGGCTACCATAATTCGTTGGTTTTCTCTAACAGGATAATATTCTGTATGGTTGTGCAGAGATTTTCAGCACCAATCTCGCAAATATCCACAACATCGGCCAAAAGTGACGACAAAACCCACAAACATTTTTTTCCGCCCGAATGTCGCCATTTTGTTGTTGTTTGAAAAAATCTGTGCAAGGCTTTTTGCCCTACTCGATCAAGCCATCCTTCGCTCACGGTTGCTGCAATGATGATTCCGTGAAGACACGGTTTTGATTTAGCAGGTTGGAGAACTTCTGCAATGGAGGATAGGGCTGTAGCAAAAGAGCTTGACTCATGGATAGAACAGTTGAACGACTGTAAACAGCTGCAGGAGAGTCAGGTGAAAACTCTTTGCGAAAAGGTAAGTTCGACTGTCTGTTCTATTATTTGTGCCGTCACAGCGCGTAACCTCCGCGCCCTTGCTTTTGTTCCATGAAGGCCAAGGAAATTTTACAGAAGGAGAGCAATGTCCAAGAAGTTCGTTGCCCGGTCACGGTATGTGGCGATGTTCACGGACAGTTCCATGATTTGATGGAGCTGTTTCGCATTGGAGGTAACTCCCCGGATACGAACTATCTGTTCATGGGTGATTATGTGGATCGAGGCTACTATTCCGTGGAGACAGTGACTCTGCTGGTCACTTTGAAGGTGTGTTTCTCGCCTGTGTGTTTGTGTGGGGCATGCTGGCGTGCGAAGTAAAATACCTTGGGTTGGTGACATCCACAGCGCTTTATTGCTTTCTGGGGCATACTATTTTTGTGACCTTTCAAGAAGCGGCAGACCGTTTCAAACACGTAGATGGGTACTTTATTGGCTTTGCTGATAGTGATGTTGTTTCCCAGAGTCTGAATAAAGGCTGTAGTGTTTGTATCGCATGTCTAATGTAATTTCAAACTCGACTCATGAGATGAGCTCGAGAAACGTTTGTCAGAGGATGCCAGCCCCAGGTGTTGCATCTATTTCTGCCTCCTGTTTTATGTCGTAACGTTTTCGTTGCTGTGACTTGTTTTTGTTATTAGAAATTTTAATTGTCTATCACGCTTAGTCTGTATGGTTGCACGTGTAGTGTTTTCATAAAGGGAACAGACAGTGTTACATTGTAATAGAGTTTTCATGAGTAACACTACCAGCACCAGGGGATACTTTCGTGCAACTCCGGAGTAGCACATCATGTACATGTACTACAGTAGTTGTGTATTTCCTGTGTGTGTGGTGTTTGTGCTCATTTTTAGTGCAGTGTTGGTATGTCAACTCTGTTGTTCCCTGGTCTTGGGTTTGTTTGACTGATGTCTGGTGCTGATAGTAAATTCCCCTCTTGCCAGCTTCTAGTGTAGTAATGGCCCTCCTATAGTTGCTGCTAATTGAAGTGGCTCAGTGTGAAGTGACCTCTGTTGAGACACCCACCCTGTTATGTTATATCAACTTCTAATCTAAGTGCTGCTCTCCTCACTCCCTACTCCCTTCCATAGGCCCTTCTCGCCTCTCGTCTCCCAACTACGTGTTGCTGCAGTGGCTATGACTGTGTGCGCATGCTGGGAGATTGCTTCTGGCTGCCAATGGCCCTTGCCCCCCCCCCCACCCCTGCAGTTTGTTGGGTTTAGCCTTTAGGGACAGTAATCAGTAGTGTGTGTGTGTGTGTTACATAAAGTCTGGGGGTTTAACGTTGCAGTATGCCTAGTACAGTGCGTATCGGTTATAGTGTGGTCGTATACAAGAATATACTGCCTACAAGAATGAACACTCATTTTTTCATAATCATAACACATATTTTATGTGTATATTTAATATTATTTATTCTTACAAGCAGTATTATCGCATAGTAGAATATATCGGCCCTAAGAATGGATTTTGTGTAGCAAAATATGCCAGATTAGTGCAAAGTGTATCGCCTGTAGTAATAAAATCTGTGCTCTGTGCATACTCAATACAATAATATTCAACACAAAAAGAGAGTTATGTCCAACTGAGCATCGGAGAATCACTTTTTCTGTCCAGTCGGACTCTTGCTTCCGACTTCTCTCGGACTCTTGCTTCCGACTTCTCTCGTATCTGCTGCTCCGCAGTCGCCTAGCACGACCGCGAGTCTGATCCGTGTGTATCATGTGTAGACCTACATGATTGTACGTGTCCACATGCCAAACGTGCGCGCATAATTATAATTATAATACCTGTATGTCACACGTGCATATGATATGTCACACGTGATTTATCGTGTGTAAGAAATATCGGCAATAAGAATCAAATGTCGTTTTTCAAACACCCACGCTATAACCGATACCTACTGTAGTGGTGTTTTTTTGTGTGAGAGGTAGGACCTGCGTATTTTAGGATTGTCTTTACAGCCAAGGTGATGTTGAGTTTGTTCTAAGAGATGTAGCAGTCCAGCCACGTAGGCATTAATCGTGGCGTATTTATCTATTGCGTTGGGAGCTTGGGGGTGTGGGCGCTAACATTCTAATGTTGCCTGTGATCATCTTCTCGCCCCTATGTTACCTGTGAGCCATTTTGACCATGTTCACTTGCCTAATTGTTCACAACTGTGGTGTGCATGGTGGTTTCGTGCAGGTCCGGTATCCAGGCAGAATAACTATCCTTCGGGGTAACCATGAGAGTCGACAGATCACACAGGTGTACGGCTTCTATGACGAGTGCCTGCGCAAGTACGGCAACGCCAACGTGTGGAAATATTTCACCGATCTCTTTGACTTTCTACCTTTGACCGCATTAGTGGATGGACAGGTTAGTCGTATGACCATGTACTTCTCATCGGTCTCACTACCGTAGAACCCCGCGGATAAGCCTATGGGCTTATCTGTTTCACAAGGACATTTCGGTGGGCTTATACAAGAACATGGGCTTATACGCTGACACCAAAATTGTGCTATTGAAAAGTACCAAGGAAGTGAGGAGTACATTGCTGAAAACCACTGTGCAAACAAAAATAACTGATGACTGTGTTGAAAAGTACAAAAACAAAAAAAAACAAAAAACCCTACATGTACACGTACTACGTGCATGGTAGAGTCTACCAACCAGGCCCATAGGCTTGTACAGCGAAGCTTCGTGATGTTTGAGCTTGGCCTGGGCTTATGCGCGGGATTCTACGGTATGTATAAAGGGAAGATCTGGCATTTGCCAACTTGCACTTGGTGGTTCTGGTTGTTGGGAACCTTTCAGTTGGGTTGTGTGGCTGCACAATGGCTTTCACGTAATTTTGCATTACACAATCCGGGCGTGGACTATGTATGACCTCAGTTTGAGTTGAGACAAGTCTCACACCATAAGCCTAAGGAAATCATGCTCGGTGCGAATAACCACGGCGCACCTTCGGGTCATCCTTATTTCACTCTACCACAATGTAATCCAGATTTGTGTGGAAATTGGTAGTGTGAAGCGAGTGTTAACCCTTTAGCCCATGCTTCAATAGACCACTCTCGGTCGATGAAGTTGAATGCACTCAAACATTTGTAACTCGCTCAAATATTGATGGATTTTCACAATCAATGTACCTAGGAAGAAGCCAGGAGCTCAGCTTTCCATTGCAACAATCACAGAAGCACTACGATGTAGCAATGCAGATATATCGTGCTCGGCGTTCCCGTCATGGCAAAGAGTCAAACTTTTTTCCTCACTGGCTGGCCTTTAGTGGGGGATTTCCCTCTTCTGACGTACCGAGTCATTCTGGCATTTTGAGAGTGTGAAGGCAACATTAGCAGAGCCCAAAAAATGTTTGAGAGATCTATGACGAGTGTGTGAAGAGGATTTGCTGGTATTTCCAGTCCGGATGGGGGGGGGGGGGGGGGGGTCGCATGTTTTCTTTGAGTGAAAATATCCTGTGGCAAGGGAACCAGATGACTGAGATTCTGTTGTGTTGTGCTTCAAATTGCTGCTGTCAAATCCCATTGCCGTTTAGCGAGGGGACCGCATAAACAAGGACTGGATAGGCAAAGTCTGCGTGAAATGCAATGTTGGGCATGAGCAGTTTGGCCATGGTCCATGATGGGAGCTTTAGCAGTAACTGTGTTTCGATGTTACTTTGTCTGTCAATCTTCTTACATGCTGTGTTAAATATTATTAGCTGACACGCCCTGTGTTTTTCTTAATCTTTTTTCTTTACACGCCCTGTGTTTTTCTTAATCTTTTTTCTTGTCGTTTCAGATCTTCTGCTTGCACGGTGGATTGTCACCTTCTATTGACACGTTAGATCATATTCGTGCACTCGACCGGTCCCAGGAGGTTCCTCATGAAGTAAGTTTCAGATTGAAGAGTGGAGGAAATCCCACCTAGGTGCATGAATTCTTAATCAGCACTTCGTACCTAACATAGCTGCTTCGCCCTTTTCGAGTTATACAGTCTTGACTTATGAGCAGTTGTGGGCATGCTGCTCTTGGGCAATAATGGTGCGCCAGCACGCAAGACCGCTCATTGCGAAAGAAGCCACGCTGAATGGCATGCAGCTTTTGCCGTGAGGTTCCTCTTCGTATGATGGCCTCTCGTTTGATGTTGCTGTGTCAATGTGCATCCTTGTCTTTTGACTCCGCTTCGCCATACAGGGTCCGATGTGTGATCTCCTATGGTCAGATCCGGATGATCGAGGCGGCTGGGGCATTTCTCCACGTGGTGCTGGCTTCACATTCGGCCAGGACATTGCAGAAACGTTTAACCACAACAATGGCCTGACGTTGATCTCCCGTGCTCACCAGCTTGTAATGGAGGTAAGTTGTTAGATCTGTTGCTAAGGAGACTTTCTTGCCCACTTGTCACTTACAATCTTGTGGCATCTTCATCATTCATGCGTGGTGTGCCAGGAATGCTTTTGGATGTACATGTATCCGTGGTGATACCAATGTAATCCTCAAGCACATCTGCATGTTGCAAGTTCTTCCATGTGCGAATTCTAGCCATGTGGCGCAGGTGAATGAAATCTATTTGCATACCTGTCCATGATTGGCATCTAATGTTAGTGCTACAGTACCCCAGCAGAGAGTGAGAGTGAGCCCTGGATTGTGTGCCGTGATGTTCTTCCAGGCTCCTTGCTTATGATTTTCGGGTGGCCAGCAGTATTAGACGGTAATCAGTACCTCGCGCTGGCTCTAGTGTGTAGCAGCTGTGTGCGGTTGTGCATGTTGCCATGCAGATCGCAGTGAGCGTATACTGAATGGTGTCAGCGTACTGTTGTAAATGGACTCAACTCCTCCAATCCTTCTGTCTTGTTTATGTCTCTTCAGGGTTACAACTGGTGTCACGAACGTAACGTAGTCACAATTTTCAGCGCGCCCAACTATTGCTACCGGTGTGGTAATCAAGCAGCAATCATGGAGCTTGATGATGGTCTTAAATATTCCTTGTAAGTAGTGCCTGTGTGTTTGTGTAGGCAGAAGTAATATCCTTAGGGTATGTTCCTTTGCTATGGGACACATTTTGGATTGTTTTTGCTTTTCAAGCCATTTTCAGTTTGAGGGAGTTCTTCAGGAACTGCTATTCGCTCCTGCTGTCACTGTGTTGCATTTTGCCTACGCCCTTGGGATCACTGTTCACATGTACACAACCTACATGCAAAACCACAGGATAGTCTGACCAATGCAACGAATACTGGCAGAAATGGGTCACATGCGACATAGAACATTCACTTGCTATGGATAACAACTCAACGCGTAATAACTAGGGGTGAAGCGATTAGTTCGAATATTCGAGTACCGTAAAGTACCGTTGATCCGCCCCCCTCTCTAATTCTGTCGATTTTCTACCTGTGAAGTGGTTTCGGCGTATACAACGAAAAGCGACTGGGGGGATCAACGGTACTTTACGGTAATCATTCGAAAATTTTAAACGAGCGAGTATTCAAAAATTTGAACTCAATCGTTTTATATTTTTCTGGTGAAAAGCAGTGATTGAGTGTGAGCCAGTGTTGCTCACAACCAATTTTTTTACTTATGAAGCTGCGTGATGCGTCCTACAAGATTTTAAATCGTTTTTTTATTTTAGTATTGGCATTCTATTTTCGAAAGCTTTTGTTGTACAGCTCGCCCACTGGTATGCATGCATTTGTATGCCTTTGAGTCAGTTTTCTATGACTTGGACGATACGATGATCACGCAAGTAACTTTAGTTAGTTGTGAGATACGGATATACTGATGAAAATCGTCACACTCTGTACAAGCCGTTGGCGACTTTTGTTCTATGTTCACGGATAATTTTTTCCCGAATTGGTGGAGAACTCACAAATCTAGCACTTTTTAATTGTGATGAAATAATCGAATACTAGATCGAATATTATGACTGAGTGATCGAATATTATGAATGCGTGATCGATTGGTCAATATAGATACTAGTACTCGTTTCACCCCTAGTAATAACCAAGCGGTTTATTTTGTCCAGACGCCCTAGAGCAGCAAGCTTTGTGCAGCAGTAGTGCTGTGTACGGAATGTCTCAGTTCTGGTGGATCGTGCAGGGATATAAGCCTTATGCATGTTGTACAGATGCACGGAATCCCGTTGAATCTTGTAGAATCCCGTAGACCCGGTTGGGTGTTGAATGTGCAGGACCCTATTGTGTTTTCTATTTCCACTAAGAAATGGGCCCTGACGGCATTTCATACGAAAGCTTTTCGGACAAAGATCTAGTTAGTCATTACTTGGTCCGCCAAGTTAAAATTGGCGCTTATCTTCTCACTTTGTTTTTCGGTGTTCTGCCTGTGTCACACGGCATGGAACCACCGATTCACCATCCGAACATAACCATTGACCATTGCATCCGACGACATGGCAGCACAAACCATCACAGAAGTTGCGATCAGTTCGTTCGAGTCTTTTTGACGGAGCTGCCGCCGACGAACACTTCCGTCAGCGCAAGAAAACACTGCAACCTCCGCTCGAGTCCGTAAAATAGGTCAGGATGTTCGCATTTCAGAGCGATGGAGAATACAGTTTCTGTCTACTTCCAGCTGTCTGATGGCAAGGATTGTTTACCCCGGGGAGGTATAGAAAAGCTGAAAAAGCGCTTCGCGAGCTTGGATTTGAGTGCTTACACAGCACAGCGCCTAGTGAAGGGCTATCACCAGCAAATAGCTGACGAAGAAACTGCAGCTCATGTCGACATCTCCAGTAAGTGAGACCAATCCGGCGGACACACTTTGAAGATCACAGAGGACAGGGCAAAGGATCTAATCAAAGAAAACACCAAGTGCTGAGGGAAACACTCGTACAAAGCACTTTCAGGAAAGTAGCCGAAAAGCCTGGTGCACGGCGCTAGGACTTAGGTACTACTACTAGGTGCAGACGCACAGGTGACCAGTGCTACATCAAGCGGAAGCTATCACTGCGCTGCATGTACAAGCACCAGCGGCTCGCGTGGGTGCTGATCAGCAAGTACGACAAGCGCAATAGGCGATTTGAAAAAAAGGACACTGATATGGCGTTGGCTTGAACAAAGTCGCATTATTGCGACGAACGGGGATAACACTTACCGCCAACATGCGGGCAGTCTCACTCAAGCTTCTGATCGGCAAGGTGACAGGCATGCACTGCCTTTGAGCGTGATTCGAGACGAGGAGAAGTGGAACAAGCTATGAAACGTGCAGCAGCTGTCCGGATCGAACGTTTTGAGCTCTTCCTCCAGCGATAGTGGCGAGGAGGATGTGTAACTTGCTTGAATTTTCGACTGAGTTACTTACGGACATGTAAATGATCATGTATATAGTGCTTTGTGATCGTGGCTTGCTTCAAATATTCGTATTTCCTTCCTGAGAGAAGTGTGAAGATAACTTATAAGCGCCAATTTTAACTGGGCGGACCAAGTAGTTCTAACCAAGTAGTTCTAACCAAAAGTGAAGAAGCTGGAAAGCGCTTGTTTTTCATTATGAGGCTAAAATTGATCAAATGCACATGTATAGCCCACGTTGAACACCCAACCGGGTCTGTACAAACCTACGGCCCTAGTACAGAACTTGGTAAATCTGTACAATGTGCATCAGGTCTATTCGCTGTAGTCAGCATGGGCACCCATTCCTGGACCAGATTCAAGGCACGGCATCTGCTTCGCGTGGCCTAGACGGTCACTCAAAACACCAACAATGCCTAAGCCCAATCTGCTGAATTCATAGCTGGAATTATTTTTTACGATGGCTGACTAAACAAACGTTTCTGAAAATTGTTGGGTTTTTGTCTAAGGGCATGCGTCGGATCCTTCAGAGTCTACTGAACACTTTATTTTGGACCTTGACTGTTGCCATGTTCACGAAGTAATAAAATGGCGCTCACAAGTCACCCAACCATCGTGCGCGTCGTACAAAAAGTCAACAAACTCTATCTCGATCCACGTGTGTGTACCGTATTTTTCGGAGTATAGTGCGCACCTGCGATTTAGGGCCTAAAATAGCACATCTAAAGTGCGCACTATTCCGGAAAATACGGTACCACAATGTGTACAAAAATGATTTTCACCCGCTGTCCGCACAAAGGTCACATTTGGATCCGGATCCGACCAATCGAAAGGGTGCGGATCCGGTGGATCGGGATGCCCTTCCAGAGGCTCTTGATCATGTGGCTCACCACGTGTTCATTTTTTTGTGTTTTTTGGATGTGTCGTGTTATTTTATTTCGTACAGCCTGCAGTTTGACCCAGCACCGCGACGAGGAGAACCGCACGTCACGCGGCGAACACCAGACTATTTCCTGTAGAAGTTTATCATCTCTTTATGCTTTTTCTCCTTCATTGTCACCGCTACTCAGACTACTGCTAAGTGTCACTCCCTGTTTTGTCATATAGACATCATCACTCTCCTCCTGCGTCGTCTCCAATTTCTACTCTTTGCTGTGCTGTCTACGTTTTTTCTTCTTATTTTTTACTGCAAAATTACTGCAGAGTATTCATGACGTAAATAAGTGCTGAAAGCACACCATGTGTGAAAAATCTGGAAAACTCTAGCTAGTCGTTTCTTTTCTTGGTGTGCTATATAATTATTGGTTCAAAGCAGAGAAGAGCAGCGCAGAGAGAGTAATATGAAAATAAAAGCTGGCTAAAGATCCTAATACTCTCTGATAGTGTTTATGCAACAGGCACAGCAGCGTTGAAAATCAGGCTACAGAGAAGTCATGTGGGATAATTCCATGCACATAAATAAATGGCGGTGTGAAATAAATACACAAGCAGTAGTAAAATTGCAAGTCGACATACTGACGCGCATGCTATTTCTTGATATCAATAGTAGACCATTCACCGCCATCGTCGTTGCCCCACTCTTCCGTGTTCCAGCCCTCGGCATCCTCACTCTTCTTCTTTGTTGTCGTCTTCCTCGGCGTGGCTGTAGTTGACGTGGACCGGCTTCTGGTCGCTGCACGTGGTGACGTTGAGGAGGACCGTTGAGCCGCCTTACCTTGAGGCGTGGTTTGCTCAGAGCTACCGGTTGCACCCCAATCGTCCTGGCTACCCCACGAACCCCAGCCATCATCACTGTGGCCCTTGCCAGTTGCGGGGGTCGAACTGCTAGCAGCAGCAGAGGAGGACATACCGCTGGAGCCAGTAGATGAGGCATAGCCATGGGGCTGTCTTGATCCAGGAGAAGCACCCATGTTGGCCGTTGCCTCGCCACAGGTTGACACAAACGACTGGATACCAGACCAAACATTGGCGCCTGTTGAGTACATCGAGTCGACCACCTTCTTGCGACTTTCTTCATCCTGAACGAGCACAAGCAAAAAATGATGCGAAGAGAACGTTATTATCCGAAGAATGGACGAAAAGATATTTCTACGCAGCACAAAATAAGATGGCAGTGCAACCAGTGCAATACAGTAGGCACTACGGTACTCAATATTAGTATACTTATAGGGTTATGGTTAAAGGGGAAGTTAAGGCAAAAATCAAAATTTCACCAGTTGTAGTCTTCGGGGTGCCGAGTCGAATGGTCGTGGTCCGAGGAAGCTGAGACGCTCTCTTCCTACTTGAATCCCAATCGAACTCGCGCACTTCCACCGAAACTGGGTGACCGCGCCCTACTAGATGGGGATTTGTATGCAAAATGTCACTAAAAGCGCCATTTCGTTCTTATAAAAGCACGGATGACCGCGATTGGCCCATATGTTGTAGTCTTTTGGACGCTGAGTCGACTGGTTTTGGTCCGAGAAAGCTCCTTTATTCCCAATCGAACATGGTTGAACAAGCGGTCACGTGCTCCTGCATGCCCAATCACCTGGTCACAGCGCCAGCAGGCGACAACTTTCACACCAAGGTTCAACTCGAGTGACAGGACTGCACCCAAAAAAGGTCAAACAGGCTAGTAAGTTGTACCCTGCAGGCACGGTGACCAGGTGACTGGCGGACGCAGGAGCACGTCAACGCTTGTTCAAGCATGTTCGATTGGGAATAAGGGCCGAACGCTGCATCGCAGCCTTTTTCCCAAGAGTGTGCAACTCAAGCATACCCTGCTATCCCGACAGTTGAAGTCATTTTTTTACGATGCAACACCCCTCGCACGAGTGACTCACCCACTACGCCATGCCATAAAAGTCAAACCCGCACAGATATTCAATGTAAATCCACGTGTTCACCCTTCCTGCTGGCCTGTAAGTTTGTTAGTATAGTACTTACTCCTTATTTTTACAAAACATACTTCGAATGTAATTTCCTTTATGAAGCCCATGGCTTTATAACTGAGACTGGCTTTATAATCGAATATACCACCATGGCTTTAAAGGTGCGGACATACGGTATGACGTACTGAAGGACATCATATCAAAAATGAAATCAACTTCTAAAATGAAAGAATCCATAGTGGGATTACACACTCCTGTGGGGTTATGTTAGTTATGTACTCCCGTCGCCGCATATTCACAGTACAGTTCATGGGTGTCCACTCTACTAAACTTATGGTGTTGTGTGGTGGGCAAGGCATAACAAAAAACGTAAACAAGTCTACATATTCCGCGGTTCCTGCGATTTCTACCCAGGTGCTTCCCTAGGAATAGTGAGGTGCTTTCCCACACCGTGTCCTCTCCCAGGCGCATACGACTCCCTGAATTCCATGCATGACAACCGTACTGGAGTTCGCGCATACGACTCCCTGAATTCCATGCATGACAACCGTACTGGAGTTCAAGTTAAAAAAAAAAAAAACTAAACCACGCCGTTCACACGAGCATTGTGTAACCGCTTACCGTAAAGGAGTCCTGTACTGTTGCAGTCAAGTCCACAGCCTACAGGTCATGCAAACACACGCACACACACATACAGTGACTTCGGTTTGTGTCCACAACCAGGATGGGATGGGAGTAAGAACACACACGCACTACTAGCGTACTACACTATAATAATTCTGTAAAACCCAAAATGCTAGCCACAAATGTACTTTTTAAAACAAAGCATAGATCACATCAAGAGTCATGGTTCGCACAGGGCCTCGAAAGTGCTTGAATTTTGAAAAATCCTTTAAGGAAAAAAGCGCTGAAAGGCCTTGAAAAACGGTTTTTGTTCAAAAATGACACCTCAGACCGCGGTCACACATGTCTTTGGCGGGACTTCCACCTCCGCCGTAGCTGTGTGTGACCACGGCCTTAGCCTTCTAAAAACGGTTACTTTTTTTTCCGTTGACGTCGCGCTTGTCGAACATTGAAAACAGCTTTTGGTCGACTCGGGCTTCCATCAATCAGTTTTGTTTTGTTTCCTGTGACACCAAGAAAATGGGCAAGTGCTCGTTTCAAGCAAAATGGCTCGAGGAGCAGAAGTACCAGTCATGGCTGGCTGCCGATTCGGATAAACACCGTACTCGGTGTAAGCTGTGCAGAACGACTTTCTCAGTTGCCGCCATGCTGACGGGAAAAAACATCGTGAGATGCGTTCCTGCGCCAGCTCATCAGCTGGCAGGAGATTGTTCCTGCCCCAGCAGCCGGCGTCTACTGCAGCTGCTGCAGCATCAGCTGCTCTAAGTTCAACGTTGGTGCAATTCGTCAGCACTAGGGAGACGCTGAAAGCTGAGGTCCTCTGGGCTCTGACTGTCATTGCCAAAAACTTCTCGTTCCGAAGTTCGCAAGGAATGAGCGCCTTGGTTGCAGAGATGTTTCCGGACTCGGCCATCGCAAAGAAGTTTCGCTGCGGCGAGCGGAAGGCCAATTACATTGCCACGTACGGCATCGCTCCGCCACCTTGCAGAAGAGTGCTGATCAGTATGAGCGGCCAAGGAGAAGTTAACGGAGCTGCAGGCTATTGATTCACAATTGAAAGACTTGCAGTGATGTGTGTGTGTGTGTGTGTGTGTGTTTGTTCAATTCTTATTGAACTCTTCAGATCATAATGGCCACTGGTTGGCCATGAATTATAATTTCTGATGTCTAAATCAAGGATATCTGATGATCGCTCCGATGCGTGAAACTTTAAGTTACAGCTAACACAGCCTTTCGCCTCTGTTGTGTGTGTAAATCAAGGGTATTAAGTTTCTTCCCAAATTTCCCATTCCCTGTACTATCCTGAAGAGAAGGGAAAGAAAACGCCTGATAGATGAAAGAATGTGTCTACTTGATTGCGTGGATTTGCGTCTTTGCATGCGAAGTTATAGATTGCGAAATTAAGAAACTACTAGTGGGTAGAAGATCATGGCCACCAATCTCGTTGGGTACCAACTACACAGCGACACCTGCACACAAACGGTTACATACTACAGACTCGCAGTATGGAGTTCAATGAACACACAAGATGCCGAAAGCTTTCACCACCAGCTTAACCCTTTACTGGTCTACCATAAGCGTACCGATACTATAGTATCGGTACGTTTGGCCCTCATTTTTTTGGGGTCTTGTTGCTAGGAGACAGCTAAAATGGCGCTCTACGCGTAGCTGAGGTCCAAGGCTTTCTGACGATGTGCAAAACAACCATGCTTACCATACAAATTTTTGCCGTATCGATCGACTGAAGTTTGTTGAAATTGGAAAAGACGACCATCCGCCATGCGCGCATTTCAAGAATGTGAGTGCATCTCTTGGGGCCCTGTTTGACAAGCGTTCTGAGAGCAGTAACATCACCAGTCCAGGCTGGATGTCCCGGGAGGTTTTGCAGTGTAGTGTGTTGAGAAAAAGAGCTCCGTTGAGTCCTGCTAGTTCAAAAATATATCGTCCACGATAGAAGAAACAAAATTCTCCAAACAGAGAGGAAGCCTTCTTGCTGCCCACACGGCGACAGCGACTGTCACAAGGACTCGTTAGGTGCGATCAGCTGATTCGCCTGGCCGTGAGAATCACGGCATGCGTAAGCTCGCGCCTGAGTACTCATCTGAGCGAGAGTGAATCTGACGCGAGCAGCGCTGAGATGAACAAACCGAAACTGCGATATCGTGGAATGGGAATTGCTGCTGCTGGCGTATCGCCGATGGCGAGGTATTGGTGTTCAATGGCGGTATTGTAGAGAGCCTACATTTCTTGTAAAGACGTAGCCCTTACCTGATTGTTTATCGTACGACTTCAGCTCCATCACGAACTTGGTATGCCCTTCGTGCTGTGATATTCGTGTATTTCATTCGCAATTGTATTTTCTCTCAACTTGAAGGGCAACCATGGGCCCTATCCTTGCCTGGACCTAGTCATATTTGAATTTTCTGGACGTGTTCAGGCATACAGATTTTGAAAATATATGGTTTACCCATGCCTACATCACATGGTTCTTGAGTTATTGCTGGTTGTGTGTACATGTATTTGCGTGACCACCCCTCACATACATTGAGTTAGACCGGCAAAGGGTTAAAAATGCCTTAGGGCAAAGGGCCCGCTTACCTTTTCAGCAGCTGGCTTCAGCATGGTCTCATTAACATTGCTGCCAATCACAAGTGCCTGCGTGCATGTGGGGAACACAAAACAAAGTTACATAGCCAAACGCGCACAGTACATGGTGCTAGCACGGCATGCTCTGGCTACAGTAACAGTTGGAACTAAACACGTTACGCTGACTAGTCATATCTATGCAGTGAGGAATATCATAAATGACCAAAAATATACAAGTGGCTCTTGTGAGGGACTGCTGGTGCATGTACCCTGGCCGATTTCAGTACAGCATCCAAAGGAGTCTTTTAGGACACATAGCTCGGGGGATATACCGTGAACTGACCTGCTCTGTGGCCGTGCTTGCAAGCTGGGTTGCAGATTCAGCAAACAAACTCCAGCCCTAGGAAAAAACACAGAAACGATACGGTGAGCAGGGTTGCTGAACAGTGAGTACCGGTATACGACTCGAATAGGAACACGTGTGACAGTCGTGGTGTCACAAGACGCTAACAGGCACAGCAGTGGTGGTGGTAACAACACTCACAACACAAAATCAAAATACTGGACTACGCCTGAAGTACGTGTAGACGTGCCAGGATCAGTTTGCACTGAAAACAGGTACATAGTTGTCAGTGGAATAGGTGGGGTATCAACAAGCAACAGTTCTATTCACTTAGTACATTACTATTCGTTCATCAGAAACAAAGCGACAAGAACCTTGCAAATTGCCACAAACGCAATACTGACGTTTCGGGCACCGGCTGTCCTTACGTAGTATTTTTCATTCACATAAGTCGTATCCATATCTGAAAGTCATCCACTTTCCCAAATCGGTACCATATGTCCAAGAAGAAAATTGAGTGGAAAACAACTCATACTAAACTATTTGAAAGCAAGGAGCCGTACGATGCATTTTCAGACTTGATCATGGAAAGTCCTGAAAGGTGAGAATGCATCACATGCAAAGCATGTGCAGCTTCTTACCGGCATCCAATGAAACTAAGAAATGCACACATTAGCATGTCCAGTGCAGGGGATGCCAAGACGAATAGCAACGGCAATGGAGAGAGACAGACAGGGAGGAGAGGAGGGGAGAGAATACAGGTACAGCACTGGCTCTTATTGTCGGCAACTTACTGTGGTCAAAGAGGCCATTGCATTTGTCAGCATCTCACCTACATGGGAAACAGCCAACACAACCCGGAACACAAGCCGTATGGCCAACCTCCTCCACCATCTCCATTCCACAAACATTCTGGCAGCGTTCAAGTCACGGGGATTGATTTCTACTCTTGACGTAAATAAACAGCAATTATGCAACCAAGCCCAAGGCATGTAGCTATCACAAGGACCACTAGATCAATAGTTCACCACATATGCACAACAGTTACTTTTCTAGGCCTGATCTAATCCTGACCACTGGGCCAGGGAGCATGCACAACTACAGTCATGCACAGCACTCACCAGAATCAAACTGGCCAGCAGAACGGGAACTACTACTTTGATCAGGAGTGGAGCCAAAACCAACATACTTGCCACCTTGACTTGGAGGTACATGGCTGCAGAGAGTGAAGAGCAGCGATAGAAATACCGGTTCGGCAGTCAGGGTTGGGCACCTCACACTCACTCTGCAATACATGCATTTGATGCTATGGCCTACACCGCTGGAATCGAAGGTGAAAGAAGTTGCCATGCATGCAACAATGTATTTATTATCACATACATACCATAGAGAGTGACAGGCGTTATCCAACACCATGGTTAGGGGGAATCATTCACCTCTACCCACCCATCCACCCACAGCCCCAACCACAAGGAGCACTCACTCTGGCCTGGTGGCGTTTTCATCCTGGCGACGCTGGAAGAAATCTGCGCGATGCGTTGCGATTTCATCACTGCAACAAACAAGAGTGAGCAATGTTAAGTGGAACAGCTCTGACAATAGAAGCCGGTAGTGACCGACATTACCTTTACTACGAAAAAAGGAAGCAATGTCCCGCAGGGTGCCACAAGTAAACACCTACCGCCACTACCCCACTGTCCCAAATAACAACAATCTTTCCACAGGGAAACAACAAACCTTGAATACTGGCGTGACTGGGACTGTGATGCAGCGCTGGATGAAGTAGAAGAGGTGGTGACGGCTGGAGGCTGATGATGCCGAGCAGGCGACGAGTCAATCGACCATGAACGGCCATTGGCTTCTGCAGACACCTGCCAGTGGAGATGACGGACATGTGAACAAAAAAAACCCAGCGCACACAAGCTGAGAGAGAGAGAGAGAGAGAGAGAGACCTAAACTAGACCAGGAGCGCACATGAACAAGAAGCGGGTGATTAGAGACCCACAGTTTTAACAGACAAATCATATGGCTACATCCAGTGTTTTGCCCAGCATTTGGTTGAGTTTGCTTGGACTACCGTAGCTCAAGAGTAGAGTGCATGAACCAAAGCAAGAATTAAATAGGAGATCCACAGCTACATGCATACAGGATCCACAGCTACATGCATAGCTCAAGAGACACATGAATTCATCCCCGACTACGACGTACCTTATCTCTAAATAGAGCGGCGGCACGGGAGTTATACTTTGCCACAAAGTCCATGCCCGGTTTGATGTCGGACTGTGACTGCAAGAACGAACGGAGCACACTGTTGCCACCAACCTGTACAGGAGTAAAAAAAAACCGTGTATTTATTACATATCACATAATGAAATCAAGACCATTCTCACTCCTCACACGTGTATTGGCTATATTCTATGACAGGTTAGTATGCCTGTTACAAATGTCGTAGTGAAGAAGACAGGTGTGCCACTATTGGACATTGTCATCGTTATTACTTTGACGGATGCATGCAGCGTGCTTTTATCGCAAATGTGCATTTTAGAGATAATGCTTAGAATAGAGACAGGAGTTGGCAGGATTTCCATTTGTACTACCTCAAACTAATTAATATACAGAAAACATGGTGATATTTTCACCTTCATTTTTTCCAGTTCCAAGTCTTTCCACTTGTCCATAGTTACCGAACGAACGAAGCTGGACAATAACAAAATGAAAAGCGAGTATGGTAAGCGGTGCGGATACAGCAAGGCAATGTGATAAAACCAGAATCAAGAGAAGCAATTAATTAATTGCACTTACCTCAAATGGACACCTAAACTCCTGTGGCGGCCCGAGCATTCCAGGCAAATGAAAATACCGTAACTGACAGATACCCACTGGGGATTCTTGGCACCGCAGTCAAAGCAACTCTAAAGGAAAGAAAAAATAAACAATGGGTATTCTCATTGAGCTGAATTCAGGTGGAATGGAAAAGGTACTATGCGTCACAACGAATTGAAGAAGGTGAAAACAACCTTACATTGTTATCACTAATTCGACGTAAATCTGTAAGGGCACGCCTCGTCCTTGGAGAGGCCCCAGACATACTTGTCCAAGATGCAAAACAGACTCCAAACTAACTCAAAGCTTAGGGAAATTCGAAATGACGATTGTTCTTGAAATCTCTGAACTGGAGCTTCAGGTCTAGTCTTTTCAATGTTCCGAGTGTTCGCTTTGTTCTCTGCATGCACCCACAAAAGCTGTACCCACTCGTAGACCTACACAGCGGCTACACTGCACTGTCAACTACCAGACTACTGCCACATACTACACTGTAGTACTGGTCAAGTGTCATGAATCAGGAATGTCATGACTGAGTCATATGCGGCTCAGCACGGCGGGTGCGCTAGGCGCGCCGCGCTTCGTGCCATCCGTACCCCCGGGCCGCGGCCCCGTAGGTCTACGGACGGTACGAAGTGCGGCGCGCCTAGCGCGCATGCTGAGTCTACAACAATAAATTTTTCACAAAATTGATAATTACACGTATTTTGAGAATTATTTTGAGAGGGTGAACGTATTTTTTGGTTTGATTTCGCTTCACGACACATCTTCCAGTTCCACACAACTACTCTTTTGTTCTTCGAGCACAAGTGATGAGGACAAGCGTGCTGACTAGTCAGTTCATCACATCAGTAGTCTGAATAGGGGAGCTTCACGATCAAGTCTGTCAAGTGGAAGGCAACATAGAAGGAAGGATTGAGTGAATGAGAGTGCTGTTTTCCGATGGGACGGCACTGTTTATCAGGTACATAATCATTGTACATGTATTGTCATGAAAGTGCGCGATGAAGTTGTTCACATGTATAAATAGTGCTTTTTGGTGTAGAAATCCTGCAACACGTAGCTGCACTATTTGCTTCTGCGCATCGGAATGGATACGAGTGAAATAGGACAGAAGCCTCTGAATGAAGTAGGGCACTCCAGGCACATGTCAGAGAATGGCTGTCTCAGCACAGTTGAACAGGCGATGGACGACGTGTCCAAACTCTCAGTGGAGGATGTGTTTCGGGAACAGTTGCACAAACGCCGCAAGCGTCAGATCAAACTCAACGTTGGCGGACGCATGTTCGTGACATCACTGACAACCCTCTCTGCTGACCCGGACAGTATGTTGGCGGCTATGTTTAGTGGCCGCCATGAGCTAGATGTGGACAAACAAGATATGAGTGTGTTTATTGATCGGAATGGGCAGGCGTTTGCGTCGATTTTGGAGTGGCTGCGGACTGGCCTTGTTCCAGCATCTGTGCTGCAGAGTGATAGCGAGCGAAAAGCAGTGCTCGTTGAGGCCAAGTATTTTCAACTGGAAAGTCTGGCAAGCAAGCTGGAGGAGGTTGATAGTCAGTGCATGGAGGGTGAAAGCGGAATGGCAGACCTCCTGGACTGTGGCATAATCAAGCTAAACGTCGGTGGCAAGCTGTACTCTACGTCGCGGACAACGCTGACATCGGACACATCGTCGATGCTCGCTTGCATGTTCTCTGGCCGTCACAACGTTCATCGCGACGAGAATGGATGCATATTCATTGACCGAGACGGCGAGCTATTCGCCCACGTGCTAAACTGGCTACGCAGCCGTACGGTCCCACCGCTCGATCCCGTGACCAAGGCAGGCCTGCTCACCGAAGCACAGTACTTCCAACTGACCGACTTAGCAGCGGCGCTGAGCCAAGGTGACATCACCGATCACCGATGCTTGCGGCAGATCACGCCGGAGATATTCTACTCGTCCTACCAAAGCTCTCTGGTGAACAATCAGCCGCTGGTGTTCAGCTATGTGGACCTGCGACTCATACCGAGCATGGCGGGTCTATTCCTGGCCAAGGCTGATTTGCGTGGCTCGAATCTTAGCGGTATCTGCCTTCGCAACACCACGCTGGAAGAGGCCAATCTCAACGGTACGCTGTTCAGCAGCTGTGACATTCGCGGTGCCAATTTGCGTGGTGCCGTGCTCATTGATGCTACGCTGGACTCGGCCAACCTGCAGAATGCTCTCATGGACCGGTGTCGCCTGGCTGGCGCTAGTCTCGTCAATGCGGACTTGCGACAAGCGTACATGCGATCGACGCGCGTGTCACGTACCAACTTTCAGGGTGCGCTGACGGAGGGCACGCACGGCCTGGAAATCGAGCACTCCTCTGCCGCGCGTGGCAACGGCGCTGCTCACCCGCCCGCGACTATTCCGACGTAACAACGTGCGCCAAAACACTACACCCACCCGCGACTATTCCAATGTAACAGCGTGCGCCAAAAACACTACACCCACCCGCGACTATTCCAGCATAGTAATGTGTGCAAAACGCTACAGCATGGTCCGTTTGCGCCGAGCGTTCGCACTCATCTCCAAGAATCCATGGATAGAGAGATTGCCATGCGTTAGCACTGCCACGGCCAAGTGCTATTTATTCCTGACACGGAGTCAAGTCTCCAGCCGCCTTTCAATGCGGTTATCTCACGCCAGTGACTAGTGTACATATTTGTATAAAATCATCATGGTATGTATGTATGCCATTGTGAGCTGCTGTTTTATTCGAGTTCTTTGTCGTTTTGCTGATAGCGCTATCCTCGCGCGACTGCCAGTTGTACATTGCTGATATAACTTCTGCTATCACCTCAGTTGCATTGCTGCTGTTACTAGTGTTAGGAAGAACGTAGAGTCCTATCCAGCTTAGTGCTTCTACTTGTACATTGTAGTTGTTGTGCTGTGTCCAACTGTTGAACATTCTAACTTTATTCCGATTTACAATACATGACTGTACTCGTATTACCATTATTTTCAGAATCATCATTGTTTGGTCCACTCCAGTGTGGGGGAGGATCTGAACCAGTTTTATCCTATTATCTTCTTGCTGTTCGCAACAGCCTCTGGGTTTCTCTTGAATACTCTCAGTCTCCATGCTGACCTAAGAAAACTGCTGGAGCGCGTCTAGCGCACACGCCTGGGGTCTTCAAGAACTTATACCTAGTACCTCTCAGCGATCTCACGCAGACGTGTCCCTATTTTGACTGCGGTCTGCATTTTATGTCGCGCTCAGTGCTATCTTTCCCGGCCGGGAATCCCACTTTCTTGGAGGCCCAGGCTTAGTCTAGCTAGTGTGCTGAGGCGTATGTTGTGTGCGTGTAGCATGCAATACTTTAACCACTGCGGATTGGCTATCCAGGAACACATGCTGGTGTACGAATACTTGTATACTTTGCTTTCAGCTGGTGTATTTTCGTAGTACTTATACAGCAAAGCACAATGGTGCAATCCTAAGACGGTGTCTAAATGGCCTGGCGCAAAACTGATATGCATGCTCGCACCCACGTAACAATGGCTAACAGGGACAAGAAAGCCAGAGAGTTGCATGGCTAAAAGCCATTGCCAGGCAGCAAAGTAAGGGGCCTTCCGTTAATACCGATATTTATTTAGAAACGAAAACTAGTCGTTTCTCTTCAACCCCCCTCCTCTCTGAGAAACGAACACATACAAAATTAATGGTACATAGTATCGATATTTTTGGTCTTTTTTCTGGACATGCTCACGCATGCAAAATGTACATCGATACTTTTCGAGAAACGAACAGGCGCTCAACCCCTCCCCCTTAAACGACTAGTTTTCGTTTCTAAATAAATATCTATATTTACGGATGGCCCCAAAAATATACTGTCAATGAGGTGACCTTCGACGTACAGTCCGTCCAACTAATGATGCGAGAGTGTTTCATGTGATGGCAAGTAGCTCGCGCCAGTTCTGGTCAGAGAAATCCGACCTCCTCAATAAAGTAGTGCCGCATTTAGCTGTAAGTCCGCATACACCCTAACATAACTGCTAGTTCAGGGATGTGGAATAGAAGAAGAGAGTAGCCGATGAAAGCCAGCTCATTACACGTACCGTGACGCAATGCATGCTAGCACTCACTGGTCATTGATGATGAACGAAAAGTTCGAAAATATGATGCTCTTTACATAGATACAGTCACGATTGCACTAGATATGTACAATAGTACAGAAGGACCGAGGGGGGATGGTGCATATACAAGGTATGTCACATATGTGAGTTGTAAGCTCTCGCGGCCACACTTGTGTGCAGCAAGTGTACAGCCATCCAGAGTACACACGGATAGTGCAGCATATAGCATACCAGAGTATACTGGTGATGTCATGGTTAGTTCTCTTCTAAGTGATCGCTGTACTTCAAGGGCACACGGTGCCTGTACTGCCGCTAATACCGGTTATATCACGAAACATGGCTACATCTGAGTTTGTTACTTCGAAGTATTAGTGGAGTCAACTGCAATAACTAGTACACTGCATCTCAAAAATGTTTGCCCTTGAAATCCAATAATATCACTGTAAACTGGAGGCGACTTGCAGTCGACAGCTTGCCAGAGAGACTCAGTTCCCTGCGTCAGCTTGCCTCACTTGCGGGTCATGACACTTTCCCCAGCTTTGTTGGGTGAACACACATCCTCGTATCCACAAGATCCAAGAGAGCGGAACAAGAAGGGAGACGCCCATTCACACAACACACACCTACAGAGGAAGGATGAGAAAAGAGAACAGAGAGACAGAGGCAAGAGAGAGAGGGAGAGGGAGAGAGAGAGAGAAACAGAGACTCCAAAATAATGACACCAAGGAAAAGAAAATACCACCTGCCACTAGGGCAAACATGTCATCACGTAGAACAGTCCTTCAACTAGCTGGTTATTGATAAGAGCCCTGCGGGTATACATTACCGTCGGAAGGTGCTCCTGTGGGGAGTTCGTCCAACACATGGCCACCATCGGCAATTTACCCATCCAGTTCATCGCACCGTTCGTTCTCAGGGGCCATGAATGACAACTTAAACACATGCACACACACCATGTACACATGTGCGTGCACGCGCGCACACGCACATGTACTTGTACTTGCTCATTGCCATAATTGGTCACGTGGGTCTCCTCTTGGGAGAGGGGAGAGAGACTCAAAAGGAATCTTGGAAAGATGGCTCAATTGGCCATTGAACCGCCCAACGGACCCAAACGCACCAGTAGCACGAGGTCGGGAGGGCACAGGATCACAGCCTTTGCCCGGGCTTTGGTGCAATGTTATGTGGGATATCCAACATAGGGTAACACCATCACTGGTACATGTACATGGTATCAATGGCAGTGTAGCTTTGTTAGTGCACTGTGACGTCGGTACTTGCGTGGGATATCCAACATGGGAGTTCATCGACGGCCGGCCATGGCCTGTGGACCAGCGTCCTCAGCTGCATCCACAGGTACAAAGTAGGAACTTCATGCTACTGGTGCGTTCGGGTAACCAGAGTGAATCTGATATAAGCTTCATTAGCACCATTGATTACACAAGAGTTACTCTAGCCAAAAGTAGTCCATGGTTAACAGGTATGTGTACTTCAAATTGAAAGTATGAACCCTGAAACCAACAAAGGTGACGGGTACAACATTACACCTTCAAGCAGCCGGGCCCGCTGGCAACAGACCCAACATTTCTGGCATAAGTGCACCCACCAACCGAACTAGCTGGCACACATACACACACACACACACACACACACACACATGCACACAGACACACACACACATGCACACGTGCACACACATACACCCACGCATGTGCAGGCACATACACACACACACACACACCTCAGACCTCAGACCTGCCCATCGCGGAAGCGATGATAGCCAACAGCTATGTTAGACATAGCAACTTGTGCTGGAATTACACCATTCAACAGGTTGCAAGGCTGATGAATTGACCGCCGCTATTTTTAGCCTGGTATCCACCACACAGCTGATTGAAGTGACTTTTTCTGGCCAGTGAATCCCTATTTTTCATTTTTCCATTTTTTCTTTTTCTACACACACACCACACCACATACTCCGGCATACACTGGCTGTTGGTAACCACCCAGGAGAATGAAAGAAAAGTCAGGAAGAGTTCGAGAAAGAGAAGAAAGACGTGTGCGACCATAATCGTCGGGAATTGAACCCGCAACCTCTCGATTGGAAATCGACTGCACATACCACTGCACCATATGGGACACACACACACACATACACACGCACACACACCTGCACACACCCATGCAACAGTCACGGCAGCACTTACCGCTCACGTTAAAACGTAATTGGAAAGCGGCTATGCTTGAGAAAGGATTTCTCTCCCGCTAATCTTAACTTAACGACAATTGTCACGGAGAACCGCCTTGAATTATTAGGGATGGATATATTCGCGCAGTGAAAGCCATCTTCCCGCGCCAGGACAGTCTTGGGTGTTTTAAACCGTACATGAACGAATTCCTCGCACTCGTTTACTAGCGGTGGCTGTCAAGCACACAACAACAAAGCAGCAACAGAGCATCATCGCAAATGTGCAAGTTGGGGACAGTGGTCCGGAAAGGTGAGCCGAAATTACACAAGCGACACACGAACCAGACTTACTCTACACAGTGTACAGATGGAATCTGGATGGTAGAGTCTCTTTTTTTAAACACCAGATGATGCAATTTGTACATCATGATTATGTTGCATGTCGGATTTATTCTCGCTGCTCCCAGCCCCGTGCCATCTCCACATGCAGACACAATTCTCCAGGTCTACGAGAGCAACCAGAAGAGTACCAATGTTACACACACTGCCACTTCCACACAATGTACGAGTACTTGTAACAATTATTTGTAAGGGGCCATCCGGCATTATCGATAAGTTTCATGAAACGAAAAAGTTTAGGCAGGACCCTCCCCCGCCCCCCCCCCCCCCCCGAACGAAAAATAGATGGATTTGACAGCTGGAATTCCGGAAAGCATTGATGTCTCACATATCAATATTTTCAAAACGAAACTCTACTTGACCCACCCATCCACACTAAAAGGAACTTTTTTTCGTGTAAAAGGTCGATAATTAAGGACGGCCCCTCTGAAGTTGTCATTGCGTTGTTCAGTTCCAGAATAACACTTCAACAAACAGAGAGGGTGTTTCCGCAAGGCTTTCTTCAGAACATCCATGTTTCTAAAAGTATTATTCTGGAACTGAACAACACATTGATAGCCCCTGTCAGACACTGCTGGCAGAAAAAGAGATTTTTTGGTGATTTTCTGGTATGTTCCATGCACTGATGTTCAGTGTATGGACAGACAAGAGGAGTAGAATTTGAGAGATTGCCCGCTACCAGCTTTGTATGGTTCTACCAATTTCACTGCCCAGTTTTCTAGCATCAAGTTTAATATCCGACAAGGCCTGGGGCAGGGGACATCTCTCTGGCATAGTGACATGAGAGGGTACAGCGAGAAAGCTTACAGACAGAAGGTCGGCCCGCATGAAAATCCAAGTGGGTCGTGTTCCCTTGCCCAGTGCAAGCGGCTCATGATTACATTGTGAATGTATACCAATGCTGCCATCAGGGAAGCCAGTAGTGATTCTGTAACAGACATGAACTGCACACACACACACACACACACACGCACACGCATACACACACACACACACGAACGCATGCACGCACACACACAGCCGCGGCAGCAGAAATCACAGTGAAGTTTTAAAATTACTTCGAGTTGACTGCACTTACATACACAGGACCCGACTTTGTTAGCTACACCGAGCCAGTGATATCAAGAGTAGATAGCCCCTAACATAATATAATTACAGTAAAACCGGCTGTCAAGGCGACCACCTGTCCCAGAAGACCACTGCAACCAGGACCAAGGGATGCTATTTACAGTCAAATCACAAAATGACACTGGATAAGCAGACCATCTGGTAACAGAGATCATTAGTTGAAGGTCACTTGAGCGGCCGTCTTAGACAGAGGTCTCACCATATGCTCCTCTGCACCACAGCCGCTCCCACAACCCAGGCCCCAGCCGCATGAATAGACCTCTCCCAGGGCCAGGGTCACTGGTCTTGGCACATGTAAAACAGATCAAGTTCCGACTGATTTTTGCAGCGAAAGCGAGCATGCTCTCAAAATCAGTGAGTATTTTTTTATTATTCTTAACCACTTAAATGCCAAACATGAGATGCAGCTAGGGGAAGCACGCACAACCTGAATCGTGGCAGTGGTGGTGAGGTTTAGGGAGCTCCGCCGACCTAGGGTCTCGACTTCATAGCCACCTAGACGCACCAAGAGTGGATGGGGGAGGGAGAGCGAGAGAGAGAGAGAGAGAGAGTGAGAGAGAGAGAGAGAGAGAGAGAGAGCGAGCGAGAGAGAGAGAGAGAGAGAGAGAGAGCGAGAGAGAGAGAGAGAGAGAGAGAGAGAGAGAGAGAGAGAGAGAGAGAGAGAGAGCGTATCCTGGCTATGCTATGTCAGGCAGTACAACTACATGTATTGTGGACATTGAAATCCAGTGGAATGACCGGGGGCTGGCACCCTTACTGCCATAGTGAGTACACGCACTGTAGTTCACATACCCGCTGCAACAAAGCACCAGCAGTGCTCGGGGCTGCACGGCCAGCGCCTGGCGGCCGCTTGACTTCAACCAGTCCACAACAGTAGTATGCGTATGTGGACAGTGCACAGCCTGGCATACACTGTTCTTGTCCACCATCTCTTTTCACTCTCGTGTCGGGAGTCCTGTTTCGGAAGCGGGGCCCAACTATGCGGTAACCTACAGTTAATCTGGAACCTGTGACCCCACCGCTAGGCGCTGCATCTGCCGCTAGGGTTTACCGGGTGTTAGCGGCCGTCGTGAGTCCCCTTTGGGAATGGACACGATAATTTACTTTTTTTTGTGGCCTGAAACCGTGATTGATATCATAGATGCAGTAGGTGGGATTTTGGTATACTTTGGCCTGCGGTCAGGGGGTCTGATCGATCCTCCCCCACCAGTTTGGAACAGCATCTGGTGCCTGATCATGGAGTGGTGAGTCCCATGGAAATGTGAAGGTAGCTGAAGCGGAACATGTAGTCGCAGCTTCACAGTAGAGCATCCTGTCTCTTGTCATGGCACAGATGCTACTGTCTATGGAGTCTTCTGTCACATTCATGCACAGCAAAGCTTGAACTGTGGATGCACACTTGCTGCTGGTCGTTTGACGGCAGACAAAGAGTCGATGGGCTGCACTGCCTGTGTGCGGCTTGTACCCAAGATTCACTGGTATGGCGGTCATAGACGTAGCCAGCCGTTAGCAGTCAGCTGAGATGGTGGTGGCGAGAGCACAGCATCCACTACACACGATCTCCACATCGCCTGATCCTGGATCGGTATGAGTTATACTCATAGAGAGTGTGTTCACAGAATGCAGGTCATGTTCCACAGTTGCATGTGGTCCTAGAGCCGAAGGTGTGTGCCTACTCCACCGGATTCCGGAGCCTTCAGAACACATGTGTAATCCATTCCATCGTGGGGCTGGCCTCGCGCTCATGCACATACACACACGTGCACACACACACACATGCACATGCACACACACACACACACACACACACACACACACACACACACACACACACACACACACACACACACACCTTCCACTGCCATGACTGGCTATGTGGCGCCAAAACGGGCAGACCAGGAGACGTGTTGTCCACCGGGTGGGGAACGCCAGACTCAGCGCGCGCGGGCTGTGCGGACAGCGTTACACTTGTGCCTCGCGATGTCTGGAGGCCGATGAAAACTGCGCGCACAAGTGCCACAGATGAGGGGCTTCGCCACAGGCTCCATGCGGGAGTGGACAATAGCGCCGACAGCGTCACGACACACACACACACACACACACACACACATACACACACGTGTGCATGTACAGCACACAGTGATTGAGCACGGTTTCTTGGACATTACAGCTCTCTATTTCGCTCATATCACAGTCTCCTCGTCGAAGACAATTCACATGCACGTCAACATCAACCTACCAGTGTCCATGGAAAAGGGAAACAAGAACAGACTTTGGTGCAGACCACGACCCCCGATGTGGAACAGGCACGAGTAAAAGCCCTGGTCTCGATAGGACACATTCCTGACGGCCACGGTCAAGTCCACATCGGTGGCGGAACCATCTAGCAACGGAGACCATGGAGATGAACGAAAACCTCGTAAATTATTCATCTCATGATAAACCAGAGGCAAAACACATAAAGAATCTTGAAAATCAAGCAATATGACATGCAGTCAGACCTCGCTTATCCGGTCCTCTTTTATCCGGATCCCTCGCCGTGCGGAAGAAAATCATAGGTTACCGATTTACAGCATATGCCATGCATACGTACAGTATGTGTGTTCGATTATCCGGTTCCCTCGCCTTTCCGGGTATTTTTGTGGGAAACCGGAACGGTGTACGGCTATGCGAGGTCTGACTGTACCTTATTTTCTGGAGTATAAGCCGCACTTCGAACACTCGAAACTCACCCAAAATAGGGGGGGGGGGGTGGTGCAGCTTATACTCCGATGATTGAATTAACGGTGATAAATAGGGTAGATGCCGGATTTCGCAGCAAAAAATGGGGGGGGGGGTGCGGCTTATACTCCGGAAAATATGGTACATGTATGAAATGAACCAGTTGCCCTTATAACAGTATCACCCTTATATAACAATTTCTCTTGGTCTGATGCTAATATCGTTATAACTTGGTAGGTCGACTACTGTACATGTACAGCCATGCACTAATGGCAGCTTACTTATAGTGGAGAAGAGCATTTGGAGGGACCTGTCGTGCAGAAAAATACTCGTTGTCGGATCACCGCCTACATCAAAACATCATATTGAAAGCGGAACACACAATCAAACATCAACCCAGAATCGGTACAGTGCAGACCAGCAGTGATGGGTGCCCGTGGTCAAAGTAATGTCTAAGGTCATATGCGTGTGCCACGGCCAACTTGGCGGTCAACGGGCACAATGGCACCTATGCATAAAACATGGCTGCAGGCTTTCGCGGCGTAACTTGTCCCGTATTCGGCAGGTACAGCGAGCTCTAGTACATTCGTGAGTATGACAGTACACAGTTCATGACATTCTATGCAGGGCCGCATGCGCTGGTATCACAGTGAGTGCGTTCGATTATGCCCGCGAATCGATTCATGAATCGATTTGCGCTATTCACATCACCGGATGTGAATAGGGTGACTGGATTCCGAATCGATTCCAGGGCTCATGACATGGAAATCGAACGACTTGAGTGCATGCGAATGGATTCATGAATCGATTGAAGTGCATAATCGAACGCACTCACTGTGCACGGCTGAAGTGGACTTGCCCCGCAGGACCAAACGGCGGGAAGATCACGCGTAGCTTCCATTCTCCCGGATGCTGGTAGGGTCTGTTGACGTCAGCAGTACGAGTTGTGTAGGTGTTCGAAGGGAAAACGCATCAATGGTGTGCCCGCCAGTTGTGTAGGTGTTCGAAGGGAACACGCATCAATGGTGTGCCCATCAGCTGTGTTGCTATGACGCTCCACACACGTTTAATATAAAGTGTGCACACCTGTTGACCAGTGCTCGTAGCATCTACACAGGGATTACAATGTGCACCCCGGATACCATGGATACGGGAGATCCGAACAAGAGAGGTTCTACACAGTCAGACCTCGCTTAACCGCACACATTCGTTTTTCACCAAAAAATATCCGGATAGGCGAGGGAACCGGATAAAAGAGGACCGGATAAGCGAGGTCTGACCGTACCCGGAATGATGTCCGTTAGACCCCCGGTTTGTATGTCCTGCAAGGTCCATGGAATTTAACACGCAATCATAGCCATGACCTGTTGACTCCAACAGCAATCCAGACCTATATAAATGGCGGACTTGAGAGAACATGCATTGTGGGGATGACACGAATGTTCGACTATTGGAACTTATTCGATCTAACAATGCTGTGGTTAAGCAAACACGGTCCAAAGTATGCCATACACCAGCGTGTCTCAATCGGCTCTGCCCGGACGCCAAGGATAACTGGAACTGCACAATATGTACATTTCAGTTGCCTGTGTAATTTCCCTACAGTGGTGTTGAGACAACAGCCCTTTGTTGTTGACCAATGCCAATGGACTACTTCAAGCATTGTGCAATCAATAGCGCTTGCACTACCGTGCCTTTATCAGATCCAACGTGAGTATGCAGACACCACTACAGATCACTTCAGATAACACAGGCGGTTGAACCAACATGTTGAAAGAGCTCTTACAGTACAGCATGTGCACTACCGGCGTTAGTACCCAGCTTAGGTAGATTTCTGCATTAATCGAGGCTGCTAAGGGAACACCCTCTGCAACACTACAGAGCGTGTACTGTCGTGGACTTGGAAATCCAGTCGAATGACCGGGGCCAGCGCCCTCAGCGCGTACAGAGCGTTGCATGCAGTGCACATGTTGATCCGATGCCACCACCGCGCTGCAGCGCATGAATGCGTGTGTGTACCGCTTACCCGCGGCTGCATGCCCAGCGCCCTGGGGCCGCTAGACGTGCGACCGGATTTCCATGTCCACGGCAGTACATTTACATGGACCTGACCAAGTCGCAGCTCAATCCTTACCTTGATTCGGAACCGGCTTAGACCCTGTAAAAACAAACTTGGCCAAGTTCAGGGTGTGCTTTCGGCCGCTATGGGTCAAGAGCTCTTGGCGACAATCAAGGCTTGCGTTATGACCAATCAAAACCGGGACAACATTCTGCTTGGCCGCATGGCAAAACAACAGGACATGGACACATTCATACGTTATGACCAGAGTATGGAGGTGGACCGCACTGCGGCAGGTGGCAGACTCGTCAGTAAGTCAATGAGTCACCACACACCAGCTTTGGTGTCATGGCAAGTCTCACCCATATGGTGCATGCTATAAATTGTATGTAGCGTTCAAAGTTCCCTAACTCTGCTCTTTCCCGTTGCATCCTACTTCGGGTCATGACACATATCATTCACGTACGCACGCACGCACACACGTGCACGTACACACATACATGTGTACAAACCCACGTACACACGTACACACACATGCACACGCATACACATGCAAACACACACACACACACACACACACACACACACACACACACACACATACCCCCACCCACCCCCTCACACACACACGGGATTGGACTCAGCCACCGCCATAAACAGGTCATATGGGTCCCCTCGGGAGACTCCTTTATTTTGGTATTATAGTCGGTAGCCTGCCTTGGCACCAGCACTACCTTTCAAGTGAGCAGTATGCTGTATACGGTGTGTGCAAAGTCGGGCAAACACACACGCAGGCTGGACTTGTCTCAATGACTTATTTGGAGTGAAGACTGGTGGCTGCCAATAGATTCCCTCAAATGTGCACACACGGTACAGTAGCATGCGCTATGCCGCTAACACGCCTCCGCGATAGTTACTACCAATGCACAGCACCAACTCTAGGGCCACACGAATACTGAACGTGGCCTTCAGCAGCGGCGAGGACATGCCACCATCATATGTACATCCACTTACAGTACACAAGGCGCTCCTAGAGTGCGGTGGAGGGCAGAGATCCGGTGACAGTCCAGTGTACTCTGCAGGCGCAATGCATTATTCAACAAAGAAGCAGATGTCACCGGTGCAACACAACAATTCGCATTTAGGGGCTGCCTAGTGAGCTTACCGGTTGTGTTTTCAAAACGAAACGCTTTAGTATTAATTTTTTCAGCAAGCCATCCATCCACCTACCCTCTATTTCTGCAGGTGAAGCGAATTTCACAAAATAAAAAATAATTAATTTCAACCCTCAGCACTCAGTACCTCAGTACCTTAGTACCTGGCAATTCTCCATCTGCATTCAATAATTATTTTCAAAACAAAACTCCTCAAGCCTACACATCTCCAAACAAAAACCTCAGTTTAGTTTATAATACAAACAAACAGTTGGTAACCTTGGATGGGCGCTCACAGCTCACCAGTGACATTAGCCTAGTACTTCAAAGTAGGTGACGTGATGATATGTAATCTGCCTGCATGGCTTGTGCCAGCAAGCAGTACTGCAAGGTTGGCGGTAATTTTTATCTCTGTTATTTTCAGACTTCATGGCCAAGCGCAAAGAAATTAACCCTTAGAGACCCCAGTGTCCTGAACACAACCGTTGATGGTTGTCTGGAAGTTGTTTTTGGTCTAGCAACTTTTGGTGCCGCAGTCTATCCTCAAATTTGACAATGTTGGGCTTTCTCGAAAGCTCTGATCCGCAAAGGGTCGAAGCCCAAGATTAGTAGTAAAAGTGCTAACAACAGACCGGTCATGCCAGATTGCCTTGCCAAAATACATCCGATGATATTCCTCTAAATTCCTTTTCCATACTTGTACTGCCATTTCGACTATTGTTTTGATCGAAAACACTCCAGTAGTTTTCTTTCTACAAGCCCTCTTAACTCTATGTCACGCTGGCAGCAACCGTATTTCCCGGATTGTTAGCCACAACTTTAGGACGCATTACTCCTTGGCTCTCCATCCGAATTTCACTATATCCGCTATAATTTAGTATAAATATCCATTTTTAATTTTTCACCTTCTGGATTTTTTTTACAAAAACTTAAAAAATGTATGACAATCACAGTTACTTCTTTTCCTGCATCGTCCTCTGATGGACAAGTTACGGAAACGTTAAAGAAGAACTCATTCCATCTACGTCATCTGGGATCTCCCAATGGTTGAAGCTGTATAGCTGCTACGTAACGGTTGAAAGTACTTTGCTATACAACTGTGCCGCGTGGGGTTTCACAGACGCGCTCGAAAATGCTCTGGCTGTTCGCTGCAGCACATTGGCCATCACCAAGGAGGTCGTGGCAAGGCGATGGAGCTTCCTGGGCCATGTGCTCTGTGTGGCATCAGACTGAGGCGTCCACACAGGTCACTCTCGATGTTGCATCTTCAGGTAATGTTACCTGGCGGGGCAGGAGAGGCGAACAACACTGCTAGCCATTCTCTTGCTGGGTTGCTGGGAGAAGCGCGGGGCGTGTGCTTCTGCCACAGCCTGGCCCAACCCAGTTCCGGGAGGTGGCAAATGACAGAAGTGTCGCTGGATTTCATTGCATGAACCATGGGTGTATGTATATCCCAGGCCGTGCTTGCCGAGTCGCTTGTGTGCAACTGTACATGCATCACCACTGGACCTGTTTTCCTTGCGCCGACAATCATTAAATCCATGAAATCGGTCATTCTGGCGTTTCCATGCTGCTAGCTATTACTGTTGCATTTCCGTGCTGTCCACTGGTGCATTGATTCGGGATACAGTACATAGGTGGCGACATCATGCGAAGAGTTTTGCCCAGTTCTGTGAAAGTCGTTTATGATGACAGATACGGTTGAAAATGCTGGCCGCAGTACAATGGATTAAGAATTTCGAAGTTTATTGTAAAACAAGCAAGGACCAGGTTGTCGACTTCAAGTCCATGGACCTCTCAGATTTAGCTGCTCTTTTTTTTAGTCATTCTATGCGGACGCGAGAAAACAGGACGGAAGCTCATACCGAAGAAATTCGCTACTACTAGCCGCGAGGTCGGCCTTCCACCGGCACTTATCCAGCCTTTGACCGACGGTCAACAGAATTTTGCAGTGACTGATGAAAATTAAATCATAAATTCTATCATTCCATCAATCACTGAAAAATTCCGGATAATGCTACTGATGAATATGGGGTGGATAGGTGAATATGGGCAGATAAAGGGCGGTCCATGGGTGCATGAAACGCATCATAGTGTGAGTGAATATCACCCTGGCCTAGGTATAAGAGTCCTTTCTTTTGATTTTATTTCAACAATCGACGAGTGGTGTGGAGATTTCAAAAAGAGTTTGATTCGAGAAAAAGGAAGCTTCAATTTGAAGTTTAAATCCTTACTCTTGCTTTGTTCTGCTGGTGAATGATTTCGAGGCTCGTGTCCACCTTCTGAAAAGATCATTGATGAGGAGGAAATAGACTAGCTTTTCTTTGCACTGGATGAGGAAAGTCAAAACTAATTTTACGATTCCTCTACGCTCGTACAAAACGCTCTGCACAGGATCCAAACTCCTGCTATGCTGGTATGCATTTTAGCGCACCGTTGCTGTGCGACTAAAACTAAAGTGCTAGCGCATATCGACTATAGTACTGGTACTGTAAGTGGTAGTGAGTTTCGAGGAGTGAACAAGTCGCTAAAACTAAAGTCTAAACGCGATGACGACTTGCGCGCGAAACGAATGGCTGTCACTCGTGTTCGCCCTCGTTCACGAGTTGCTAAAACGCCCTAATAGACCACTTTTCGCCAGCTGTGCGGATTCAGTCAGATTTCCATTCACTGGGGTTTTGTACCAGCAGGATTCGTTATCACGAGAGAGGATTATTATTGTGGTACCGGTAGGCTGTCATGTCACCTAGGCTAAGGACGTTGACCACCCTGGCCCTGGGGACAATATGGCTGGGGTCAAATCGACCTAAGAATAGAAACACAGTCAATGGATTCACCTGGTTCGGGAGCGGGCTCCGTAGTCGTAGGGTCGGTCATTGCTGTGGTGGTGGCGTTCACGTCTTCAACAGCTTGCGCTCGCGCAGTGAGCAGCATGGCTAAAGCCACGATGTGGGATGCCTGCACTAGCGTCATTGTTTGTTTTCAAGCTCGGGTATCCGGTATCCGTCGACAAAAATTAAAGGGGATATTCACTCTAATTCTAAATGAAAACTTCACAACCTGTAAAAAAAAACTTTACTGTAGCGAAAAATGCACTGATTCTGTAGCGACCTCGCTGTCAGTCGCCCACTACTGGCACTAGCTAGCCCAGACATTTTACGCATGAGCAAACATTCTTCTTCCTCTGTACTGTCACTGTTCTCACGACCAGGCTGTCAAGAAGTGGCAACTTACTTCGTTACTGTACTTAGAAAGATGGCGTCGGTTCGAGATGGCATGATAACCACGCACGTGCCGTGGTCAATGGCTTGCTCTTGTATGCACGCAAAAATGCAAGTCGCAAACTCACAAAGATCGTCTTTGCATCTGGAGAAACTTGATATCTTCGACTCTTGCTGGATCCATGGAGGTTGGCAAGGTTTGCCTAATCTTTACTTGATTGAGATGATTATAGTGAGGTTTTGCATTTCGCATTTCGATTCGGCGTTTTTCGGTCATTTGTCGAACATCAAAATTAATGTAGAATTTTCAAACGAAAGTTTGTTCTGCAAGTCGAACATCATGTGTTTTCATTTCGTGAGCTCCAACATCAGCAACATCTTGTCCCGTGCTCTTTTTCTTGCTGATTCCAACGAACCTTTGATCGCCCAAAGGTCGAGGGCCAAATCTGCCTCCTCCAAGTTAGTTGCCTCAGAAGAACCAACTCCATGGCCAAGTCAAATTTTATGCCATATCACCTTGTTTTCTCAGCCACACAGATGATGGCGAGGACATTCCAGGCAAAAGGGAGGATACAGGCAGTGTAGAGGAGCAATCAGAGGTAGCTGACGATGAGCTTTTTCCGAACAAACATGCCGAATCTTCGAGTGCATTTTCGACCTCGCTCCTGCGCGCCGAATCTTTTGCCGAACTTCGGAATGCAAAACCTCACTAGTAATACTTTGGCAGTGGCGGAGGCTCGCTTGCCGACTTAACCGTCGGAGATCATCATGAACAATGGACTGACTAATTATTCACTTGTCCTGTCTTTATAAATAACATGTTATTGCATACCGTATTTCCACAAATAGTAGGCCGGTCTACTATTTTTTCAACCTCGTCCTAACCCGGCCTTATAATCGAGGACGGTCTTGTATTCGAGGACGGTCTTTTATTCTTTCAACCCAGTTTGACCCCGGTCTTCTATTTCTCGCCACACAGTTTTACCCCCGTTCTTCCATTTTCTTCTACACAGTTTGAGCACGGTCTTCTATTTTTTCCCACAGTTTGAGCACGGTCTTCTATTTTCAACACAAGAACAAAGGCTCATTTAGTAGGCCCGGTCTTCTAATCAGAGACGGTCTTTTATTTTTTCAATCGCCCCCTGCCCCGGCCTTTTATTTGCGGAAATACGGTATGTTCTTGGTTTAGTTTTTGGCCTTTTTCGTGCTTTGGAGTTGATAACATTTTCCTCACTATCGAAAAAAAAAAAACTAGTAAGGCCAAACTAAAGAAGGTGTGTGGTTCGACTAACATGGACATTTTTTTTACGGGCGGGCGGGCGGATTTTTTTTTTTTAAATATATTTTTTAGTACATGTAAATACACTGTATACGCGTACCGAGTAGACTCTACTACCAGCACAAGGCAGCAGTCGCACCACTCACTGCACTGCACTGCATTAACTACAAGTCAAGTCCAAAAGGAGCCGCCTGCGTCCGCAGACTCACGCCGCACAGCACGTAGACGTGGACGTGTTCAGTCCACGTACGTCAGTCACACGACAGCCCGCCGAAAAAAAGTTACGGTCGGGCTGAAATTGTACGGTCGGTCGGGTGAGTCGAACCACACACCTTCTTTAGTTTGGCCTAATACTTTATTTGTATTATAGCCCACATACTGTACATGTACATGGCCATGGTATGCACTGATATTACAGTCATGTAGTTGTACAATGGCGCACTCTCTTCTCTCACTCCATTCTTTCTCCTCACTCTCTTCTCTTCTCACTCTCTACTCACTCTCGTCTCTTCTCACTCTCGTTTCTTCTCTCGTTTCTTCTCTTCTCATTCTCTCGTCTCTCTCTCTCTCGTTTTATCCGTCACTACAAGTAGCAATTTGCAACATGGAGCCCCTGACACGGCTAACGAATTGCGCTATCCGCGGCTTCTTCGGTCTGCCACCGACGGACCACCGTGGTCGCGCACGAGCCCGATCCGATCTTTCAACAGCTCCCCCGCACCACCCTGGAGGACATGTTTATAACATCAAGGGACAAGCTCCTCGTCTTTGTCCATCGTTGTCTGTTTCTCTCGAGCTAGCTCCCTCTTCACCAGCTTCTTCCTGAGGGTTACTGGTGACCGCACTCGGGGAGCAGCACATCACCTTCAGTGACCTGGATCATCACCAACGCGTGGGTGTCACGTCGAACGTTCAAACTGCTAGTAATTCGAACTCCAAGACTAAGACCAACATTCAAACTTCAGCTAATGCAGCCAGTGCAGTCAGTGAGGCCAATTTGCCAGACGTCGATGACGACAGTGAAGATGCTGCCTGGCGTTTGGTGACAGCCAGGAAACCTGTCAAGAAAAGTGTTGTGTTTGTTGGCAATCTGCTGCGCGATGCCTCACCGGAGCAGCTAGCACGCTTCGTGGAGTGTCGCTCGTCGGAGTTGAAGACTCCCCCTATTAAAATTCTCGACTGTAAAGTTTTTCAGAAGCAAAAGTCGTCGTCTGCGAGACTGGTAGTCCACGCATCGTGCAGCAAGACGCTGTTGGATCGTCGCTTCTGGCCCAGACCACTCTATTCCAGACAGTGGAATTTCGACAAGTACTCTGCCTCTGATGTCAGTGATGATACCACAGAAACCACAGCATGTGACGACACGCAAGCAAACTCGGCATCCCTTTCGGAAGTGGAAACAAATGTGCACGCGCCCTCAGTCAGCGATGGCTCTGAAATCAACCATGCCTGCTGATGACCATGCTGCACACTGCCTTCTTGAATGTATGTAGTATCAGGCGCAAGACAGCCGAAGTGCAAAAGTTCTTGTCAAACAGAGGCATTCATGTCTTTGGTATGGCTGAGACTTGGCTCACTCCAGATATCTTGGACAGTGAACTTACTATCCCACATTTCAAGCTACATCGGAAGGATAGATTGCAGCAACGTGGTGGTGGTGTTGGGATATACTGCCATGAATCTGTTCTTGCGCGAAGACGCACTGACTTGGAGACTGACTTAGAGCTGCTGTGGATAGAAGTTAGCGTTTCCGGTGGCATAGTACTGGTTGGATGCTGTTATCGTCCACCAGACAAACCTGTAGCATTCTGGACCTCCCTGGAGTCCAGCCTAGACGCATCAGTTCATGCACCAGGAAAGAAGGTTCTGGCAACTGTCATGCTGGGTGATTTCAACGTTGATATGAAAATGAACCAGTCACCCATGGCCATACGAGTAACTGACTTGTTTAACAAATTTGGTATGACAAATTATGTGTCTTCACCAACACGTGCCACCACCCTTACTGAGTCAATCATTGATCTCTTCCTATCAACTTCCCCGCTGACGGGACCTTGTGAGATAGCCTAACGTTACCTAGACATTAGTGACCACTTTGCAGTACTTGGGAATCTCTCTGTGGCAGGGTTTGCACCAGGCCGTACTTCCAGCTACAGACCTACACGCCGCATCCATAAGATAAACTGGGACACCTTCAACAGCGATCTCAGTGCGGAGCACGCCTCTCTGCTCGCCATAGATGATGTCAACACCCTTGCATCATCTTTCATCGCCTCCATAGTGTCAACATTGGATAAGCATGCACCCGTGCGGATGAGGCGAAATCGGGATAGACGTCCCTGCCCGTGGGTAACAGATGAACTTGTGGCCTGCGTACGGGAGCGAGACAGACTCCATCGACTGCTCATGAAGAACCGCTGCAATGATGATCTCCGCAGTCAACACCGCACTGCTCGTGCCAAGGCCAGGAAGCTGGACAGGAGCCTGAAGAACACGTATTTCATCCAGCAGTGCCAGACTTCTGACCAACGTAAACTTTGGTCAGTCATCAATACTGTGGTTGGCCGGAAGAAACAATCGCACACTGCTCAAGTACCCATATCGGATCTTAGCAAGCTGTTTGGTGACGTTGTCCATGATCCCCAGCGTCCTCCTCAGCTCTGTTCTCCCTCTGGTCCAATGGCGGAAGGGGCATTTACCGACTTCAGTGTAGTGACAGTCGAGGATGTGGCAAGCAGTTTGAAATCTGTCAACCCTTTCAAGGCAACAGGCAGTGACCAAGTTCCAAGCATCATCCTGCAAAAGTGTTATCCAACCATTGCCCCCACACTTACACGCATCATTAATATATCCCTGTCCTCCGGTGAGTTCCCCCTGTCCTTCAAGTTGTCCCACGTCAGTCCGCTCTTCAAGAGTGGAGACCCAACTTTGCCAAAGAACTACCGCCCTGTGTCACTGCTCCCAGTTATCTCCCGCATCACAGAAGCATTTGTAAAAAATCAGATCACGCAGTACTTGGACTCCAAGCAACTTCTTCCGCCTACTCAGTTCGCCTACCGAAAGCTTCACTCCACAGAAGATGCCTTAACGTATGCTGTTGATCGATGGCAAATGGCACGGGCAGAGCGCAAGTATACCGGCATCGTGTTTGTCGACATGTCAAAGGCCTTTGACCGCGTCAGGCATGAGCGACTCGTTACCGAACTGTTTAAGCTAGGCATCTCGGGAACTGCACTCAACTGGTTCTGCAGTTACCTGTCTGGCCGGACACAGCAGATCAAATTGCAGGATCAGTTGTCAGGGACTGTTCCTTGCTCTCGCGGTGTTCCGCAGGGCAGTGTCTTAGGCCCACTCCTGTTTGTAATTTACACTGCTGACGTCAAGTCAACGATGCCTCCGGATGTGGCAGATCAGGAATTCGCTGATGACATCGCTCTCGATTGCTCCAACGCGTGTCCCAAGCAAGTCTGCGAGTCTCTGTCGTCTGCAGTGACCAACCTCGCCAAGTGGCTAGATGACATCGGCCTACTTCTGAATGCCCAGAAAACCCAAGTTCTGTTTGTAAAGCCAAGAGGCGGTGCTGATGTTCAAGAACACGTACGTTGTCGAGGACAATCCCTGGAATCAACAACATCTGCGAAATACCTGGGTGTTGTAATCGACAATGACCTCTCCTGGCAGCCACATATCAGCCATGTAACACGCAAGATCGGGCCAGTAATTGGACAGCTATGGCGACACGGCAGGTCCCTGAGCCTAAGAGCACGCCAAGTCTGGTATGTCAGCATGATACAGGCTCATCTGTCCTACGGATCCAACTGTTTCTTCTCCAGTCTTTCCAAGCAGCTCCTGGATAAACTCCACCGCCTGTCAAAATCCGGTGTCAGAGCGACCCTGCAGCAAAGGACTCTGGTCCCGACTGCCCCCCTTCTCGAGCTACTGGGTGTGCCAAGCTTGCCACAGCTTCTCTTCCAGAAGCTTGCCATCTTCGTTTTCAAATGTTTAAATGACAAGACAAGTCCCCTGTTAAAGAATCTGTTCGTGCCGATCAACGACCCTGCCACACCTCAGCTGAGGACGACACGGGGTCAAGTGTCATGCCTGCTGAGAGTTCCGTTCCTCCCTGGTCCTGCTGGACGTCGTTCAATTCAGTTTGTTAGCAGCATTCTGTGGAATGCTCTCCCAGTTGCAGTCCGTACGGAAGGTGATTGGCAGACATTTAAAGCTCTAGCCGCGGCTCTCGACTTGCCCAGCCTTTACCCATATTAACATTCTCTGTACCTAACTTCATGTCAAAATCCATTTTAACAATCCGCATATCTCTCCTCCTCCCCCCCCCCCTCTCTCTCTCTGTCTCTGACACACACACACACTCTCTCTCTCTCTCTCTCTCTCTCTCCCTCTATCTATCTCTCTCTGTTGTTGTTATTGTTATTGTTGTTGTTGTTGTTGTTGTTGTTGTTGTTGTTGTTGTTGTTGTTGTTGT